GATTGTGTGCAGAGGTTACGGTGTCTGTGGCTGCGTCAGCCGTGCATGCTTGAACGTGTTAGTTCTGAGGCCTATTGTCGCATGTGTAGATCCAGGGTCTTTGTGGTAGCTCCACCTGTGTGTTAGCCAAATATGTATGCACACTTTGGATGCACTAAGAAGTAATGACTCTCCGAAGAAAGGTTTTCACAACGATTTCTGTGGACAATAAAAACCATGAACCGAAGCCCAGTAAGCAAGGTTGTACATCACCGATACTTACATATACTTCAAGTAAGCCGATAGATACCGTACACTACACTAGTTTAGGCGCGATGAGTGTGTTCGAGCTGGCGCAGTGGGAAAATATCAAAGAGTGAATGAGGGAGGGACCTGGTGCCAGATTTTTACAAGCGTTCTGATGTGCATAGGCCTCTACAGTCTGGAAAAAATGACAGCACGAACACCAATGAAATCACTTAGTTGCCGCTTCTTGCGCTGTCTGCAGACAAGCGATGTGAACTCAAGTTTAATATCATTTTTCTCAATTAATCCGACACACGTGTTTTCCGACACAGTGGCAGTTCTGTCTGCAAAACTGGGGGTCGAGTGACTTCGTCTAACTGCAAGCTGATTACCTTTTTTCACTGAAGGCATCGGCCGCGGATAGGGTCATGTACTTTAAAAAATGGGACTTTGCCCCAGGAAAATGTGGCTTCCGGTTATATCAATTCTGTCTTCGACCATGAAAATAAGCCGCCTTCGTTCCAGACCCAAAACAGGTCCGATCGGAATTGGCCACGTAAAAGTTAGCCACAATCCCTCCCCAGCTGCTATTTTTGATAATAATTATATTTGAGCTTTGATGATTGGAACTGCAAGTCTTTCAGCTACCTAGCTGCCATGTGACCCGAAGGAAGCACGAGGGCTGGGATACTGCCAGGTTGCGTAAGCCTAGACAGGGGAAGTCGAGAGGCAGAGCAAGGAACGGAACTGCAAAGACTGAGGCATAACGCACGCTGGAAATATGATGCTCACCAATAGTCAAACGGTAACTGGTCTCGAAGCCTTGTGTGGCCAACAACGGAATAATGCCACAACGTGCATGATTGCTTTCGAATTCATAACCACATTCTCACTCATTTGCTTATCTGGTGTACTCATTCCGCAGGGTGGGCTATTCTTAAGCTTTCCAAAACCGCTGCAGTATTTTTGGCCCGTTGGCTCTAAGCTGAATGCTTACCACCAAGTGGGAATTTCCCAAGAAGCCGTGCTTGCATATGTAAGGTACACCGAGGTGGACACAGTCTATACGTAAGGCACGCACCGATCAGCGTAATCGTATATGTGTTATTAGGCAGTGTTTTTGTTTTCCTGTTCCAATAACACTAAGATTAGCTAGTTCGTCATTGATTACTCTCGCAAAACCATAGTATTTCGGAGACAGAGGTTGTCGGCTTTAGGTAGTTCCTGTAGACCTTCACATCTATACCACAGTGTGGTGCGTACAATAGCACTGCACACAACGTCTTGGGGGACGCCTCATGTCCCTGGCGCTTCAAATAATGAAGGATTTTGTAGTTCGGTGGAGTTCTGGTGTTTTCACCTGGTGTTTCTGCCATTGGTTATTATCATTAGTGCGATCTGGTTTGTAATACCTCAGACCAGTAGTGCTGAAGTAAAGTCCCAAATGTATTTATATCGCTGCAACTTTTAGGGTGCATCCAAAGCAAGTGTTGGATCTTTCCAGTTTAGGAGCGTGACTACGTTCCTGTAAAGCAGGCGTCGGGTCGATGTGGAGAAGGGTGAGTTTGCTCCAAAAATAGCACTGATCGCTGCTGCCTATGGAGCTCCACTGACGTTAAGGTCTGAGGGCAAAGTTATCCGATTTCTCTTCCATTAGTCGGGAGCCAGGTTTTCAACTTCCATTAGTACAACGTCGTCGTTCTGAGCAGGACAGAGGGAGTTTTGATAACCTAAGGTCCGGTTCATGGAGGTCATGTTTCTATCACACAGTTGAAGCTTATTGCCACTACGGTTACTACTTTGGGTCTCGTGTTGGATCACCCGCAGTTGTCTCTGAAAAACCTCGAAGACCCGGTGCACTTCTCTTCGTGGACTTCAGCAGATGAACCGCACAGATACGGTTATTTAATAAGATAAAGGCGTCTCCTATTAACAGCTCGAAAAAATGCTCGTCCAGCTCGCTCCCCCGAATCACCGGAGTTTCGCAGCCGGACGCGGGAAAAGTGACGGGACAGTCAGTTCGATAACTGTTTGCATCCTGGATTCTTGTTTCTGACGGAGTATGAACAGCATACAAATTTATCTACCTTGGCAGCTATATCCGTCCCGGTGGTCTAGCCAAAGATGATAGTTTCATCCGGATTGAAAAGGACAGAGCAGCTTTCGTGGACCTGCATCGCCTGTGGCGCAGGCGTGAAATAATCTTATCCGTCGAGGGTCGGGTTTACAATGCTGCGGTGCGCTCCATGTTACTGTATGGGCCAGAAGTCTGGCCTCTGCTCGCTGAGGACGTCAAAACACTTTCAGTGTTTGACCACCGATCCCTTCGGAGCTTTGCCCGAGTCTGGTGGGAACAGCGCATCAGTAACGCTGATGTACGTTGAATGGATTTCGGTAGAGATAACTCGCTCACGATAGATGAACTGATCATACTCTATAAGTTGCGCCAGCTTGGTCACGTGCTTCGTGTGCCAGCCAACCGTCTTTCTCGAGGGGCAATCTTCGCGCAACCATGCGAAGGATGGAGACGAACCACAGAAGGTCAAACAATGAGTCCGTAGTATGAAAGTCATCACCAGCAAACTCAGCTGCGACGGTCATTGCCGCCTCTGGCTGTAGACCCCTAGACAGGACAAATCATTGGTTGGAGATATTGTCAGACGGGGCCAAGTCACGCTCTCAGGGGCTCTCTTGTCTCCAATATGTTGTCTTCAATGCACACCGCCCTTCCTGACCCCCAATTAAAGGACTACTGACACACCTGTATTGACGCATCGATTGTATCACCTACATCCTCCATGGCACTGCTATATGCCTACCTCCCCAAATCATCGGTGAATGAAACTGGCCACCAGAGCCATTGTACGGCAAGTACGCAGATTTTACAGCTGATTATGATATTTCGATGGAGAAAAAATCCTATGTGCGAGCAAGAACAGCTTGCTGTTCTGTTTGCTTCGGAGTGTGAGCAACAAAGGCAATTTCGGAGTTTAAAAGCTGACTTGGGGATTTTTACGGCTGTTACTGAGGACAGATGCACCAAAGTTGACATCAAGGATGATACAAAGCGAAAAAAGCTAGGATCTGAAGAGAGGATACACAGATGGGGCAGAGTAGAGGCGAACACGTGAGACCGTAATAAGAGAGACAACATTAATAACCCGTTTCCGCCCACCTGCTCTGCGTGTGAGACAAGTAAGGTAACCCAGATGATGGCACCATGCGACAAAATACGTTGTATGAAAGACTCGGTCCATTCCGTGCTACATCAGAATTTTAGTTTCCCTAGTGAGCCCGTCAAATAATGCCAATCGCCTCACGTTATTCTTGTGTCCCCGTGATTCAACTATCTTGGTTGGCATCTCAACATGGGAATATTTGTAACAATCTTCCATGGTCTTGACGACGATCCACAAACTGTCAGAGCATATTACTGAAGGTGAATTTTCCGCCTTGCTTGAGGTCAATCTAATAGTTGAAGGAGTCTTTTTCGGACTCAGTCGCTAGCTGGATGATGCCGCTCATGATCTATTTATCCTATTGTTCAAAGCTTAAATCTAGCAAACAAGCCATTGACTGTCTGTCTAGGGCAGTTGGATAAACCCCGAATTCAAATCGTTCACATGTGGCAGGTTGGATACCCGCTTCTGGATGGATTCTCGGACACCGGTTTCGAAAAGATCAGTTGCTACTCTAGCTAGCGGGTCAGAGGTGAGTTGGGCACCCAAGGTATCTGGCAACCATCCCAAAGGCTTACGGACCGAAATCATGATGACCCGCCCGCAAATGGTTCCTAATACTAATTCGCTATAATTCACTCCACCCAACAGCGCGCTGAAAATGTCACTTCCAACGGTAGCAAGACGTCTGCAGGTCAGTTGCCAAGCTTGCGAACAGATGAGTTACCAATAATTCACTACTAATTTGTATATTAGATCCTACAAACAAAGGTTCTGTACGAAGAACCCTAGGTCAACCTTTCCGCACTATCCAAACGAGAACAGATCCTGTCTTCCTTGCCATGAGAGCGGGAAATTTTGAAAAGCAAGCTAATTTGGGTACCTCTGTAGAATGCAGGCGCAGGCTGTATGTTATGGTACAGCTCGACATTTTCGGTCAGTATGCTCACATCCAGACCGCACTTCCAATGTCAAACTATACACTAGAATCCTGGAGATGTTACTCTAGGTGTTCGAGAACTGAAGGAATACGATTTTGTCGTTTGGCGACTGATGAAATAACAAAAATATTTGTGACAATCGACTACGCAGAACGCGAGTCTGAAAAACGAAAGCTTGGGTATGTACAATGAAAGTAAAGGAAGAGAGCGAAACACCGGATGCGCATGTTTGGATGGGCGTAAGTAATAACCCTGTCAGTGAATGGGACTCAATAGATGGAGATGCGTGTGGGTTAAGTCGTCATCCCCGGGGTTTCACACAATCGGAAACAGATGCAGAGGAGGACAAAACGAGCTATGCCAGGTTCACACTATAGTTCAAGTATCACTTAATGCTATTCGTGAATCTGGAGCACGTGAAAGTGATGAAGGATTGTGTTTACGGATCCATGGGTGTCTGAATAAACATAGTTGAATACCTTATCGCAGAGGTTTTGAGTGGCTATCCACTTTGAGTGTGGTGGTGTCACTTTCCTTGCTACAGCTTCAGACATGTCAATCACCTTTTTAATTATCGTTTGATTTTTTAAGGCTAATGCCTTTACTGTTAGGTTAACTACTTTCCTTGTTCGGTTTTGCAATTGTTATCACTTTCCCAGCAAATGTGCATTTCTGGAAGTCATCGTCAACTGTTGAAGGGATTGCTATATATTGGAGGCGCTTGTGTGGCATCCTACTGGGTGTCTTCTCTTCTGCACGGTTTCTTTATGCGACGGGAGTATGCCCGGCGGCGTGAACGCAAGCAACTGGAAAAGGTGGTGGCGAAGAGGGCGTTTGAGAATTACTTGAATAAACACCCTATGGTAAGGAGGATGTCACTAATGGATGTCTGGTAAATCCAGTAGAAATGCAGCAGCTTAAAATTTTTTGAATTGAATTATATAAAATTTTTTTTATCGGCTTCAAGATACCTGTGTTCCTACCATGAGACTTGTTTTGTTTGTAGCTGTAGAACACCAGCTGCATGCAGTTCTTGTAACAGCTAATGTATTTTCCCATATGTTTAGTCACATGACATGCAACATAAGACATGATGGGGCTACCGGTTTCTTATATTGCACGGTCAAGGCCAGTCCTTGGTGTGATGAACAATTTTTCAGCAAATACACTCATTTTCACACGAATAGGATTTTTACAGGATATATAACTGAATCCCGCTGATTCTTTCGTTTATGCTGGCCACTTGATAGGCCCCGTGGACTGCTGCAGAGTTTTCAATAACCTTTCTAGTAGTTTGTTACGTCTGGGAAAGAATTGTGTCGATCAAAATCTTGCTTTTTGTGCATTTATTTCTCCTCAGGAGTAATTCCTTCACTCTGAACTTAGCTCTACCATTTTTACTGCGTGAAAGGCGAACTCCGTAATGCCATTCGGAACTTTTCTGTGGCAGTATCTTCAACGGAATCTAGAACATTGAAATCCAAGGATTCTTAGAGCCCTCGTTATCTTGTTTCTTTGTCTCTCAAAACGCGCAGAAACTTGCACCCAAGTAGGTAGATGATTAATCAAACGCTCAAGGGTGATTGCGGTGTGAAAGCGACAGTTATTTATCTACTTTCAATCAATCCCTCACTTCTTACCGTTAGACGCTCTTGTTTTCTCAAGACATTAAACCATAGTAGTTCAGTGATTCCCTTAATGTGCGTAAGGCATTTTTTCAGCTTGAAGCGACACATCATTCTAAGACCCAACCATTGTGCTCTAAGTCTTGTTATACATGCGAAAAACCGAAGCTTAATTTTTATCTGCAGTACGAGTATGAATTGCCTGAAATCAATGTGGTTTTTATATTCTAAATTGGGCAGAATGTAATGATATTGGAAGTACGGTAACCGGTGTCCACTAGCTTCCCTTAGCTTTGTCCGTAGTTATCGGTTATGACGCCAAAAAACTTATCGATCCTTTTTTTCGAGAAACACACTCATTTGCAAATCAATTTGGTTTTCACGGGAGACTCAATTGAATCTCTCGTTTATGATGTGCTCCAGCTGAATGTGCTGCACACAGGCCGCCTCATGATTCAGTTGGCACGATATTCGAGATATCGAAGTATATTTTCATAAAGGAAACTACTCACAAGGTTGCTGAAAACTCTTTGACAGCCCACGACCGGTTTCGCCCTTCTTGGGGCTCATCAGGTAGGCGCAGTCCCCGAGTTTCCGTCAACCTTATGATCTACTTGAACCCAAATTGCACTGTTTTCGAGAAATACACTCATCTGCAAATCAATTTGGTTTTCACGGGAGACTCAATTGAATCTCTCGTTAACGATATTCTGGTAGCTATGATATCTAAGTAGAACATAAGGTTGACGGAAACTCGCTGACTGCGCCCACCTGATGAGCCTCAAGAAGGGTGAAACCGATCGTGGCTACCGAAGAGTTTTCAGCAACCTCGTTAGTAGTTTCCTTTGCGAAAATATACAGCGATATCTCGAATATCGTGCCATCTAAATCATGAGGCGGCCTGTGTGCAACACATTCACTTGCAGAATATCATAAACGAGAGATTCAGTTGAGTCTCTCGTGGAAACAAAATTGATTTGTAAATGAGTGCATTTCTCGAAAACAGTCTAATTTGGGTTCAAGTAGAACATAAGGTTCACGGAAAAACGGGGACTGTGCCTACCTGATGAGCCCCAACAAGGGCGAAACCGGTCGTGGGCTGTCAAAGAGTTTTCAGCAACCTTGTGAGTAGTTTCCTTTATGAAAAGAGATATACTTCGATATCTCGAATATCGTGCCAACTGAATCATGAGGCGGCCTGTGTGCAGCACATTCAGCTGGAGAACATCATAAACCAGAGATTCAATTGAGTCTCCCGTGAAAACCAAATTGATTTGCAGATGAGTGTATTTCTCGAAAACAGTGCAATTTGGGTTCAAGTGGATGATAAGGTTGACGGAAACTCGGGGACTGCGCCTACCTGATGAGCCCCAACAAGGGCGAAACCGGTCGTGGGCTGTCAAAGAGTTTTCAGCAACCTTGTGAGTAGTTTCCTTTATGATCGATCCTTTATTCTGGGGAGTTTCAGAAGTGTTTCGCAGGTCCAGACTGATAGGCATGCTGAATATCCGGTTCGGACCAAATTTTATCTTTCTCTGTGAAATGGGGATCTCGGAAATCCCGAGACAACTACTTCGTGATTTTGTTTGCACTGGTTATGAAACAGCAAGTAGCCGTTTTACAGGCTTTTCTGTTTTCACCTTCCAACCGATGGGCGTTTCTCCTCTCTTGATTGGTCATTCTTAGTAGCGTCCTAAACTTTTCCAGTAGAGCACAGCACAACACTGCACATGAAATCTTCCTTGATACCACCGCATATACAGCGCTTTTCTAATGTATGTGCGGACTGGTGCTTGACCTATTTAATTACTCGCTGTTGAGACCGCAGTTTGGAGTTCTGTCTGTTGGGCTGCAATTGAAAATTTATCGTCTGCCATCTGGTTCGTTGATTAGACGAAACCAAAGCACTCAAGTTTTGTTGGCGTTAATTTGGATGATTGTCCGTACCTACTGGGCATCAAGAAGGTTGAAATCGGGAATTAAGTGCCAGCGGATTTTCGTTTAGTCTTCCTTACTACTCGTGAGAATTACTTTCCAGTCAGTAAATAAAAGTCCGCCAGGTTATCATCACGTAAGAACAATAGGTGAACTTATTCCTAGGTGATGTTTCGGTCTTTAGGCAAAATGCTAATCGGGCTAGGTCACGTGCCAGGTTAATCCAGCTTCAGGCAATCGGAGAACTGATCAGTCTTTGTTTGTGTGTTTGCCTATTCTTACCGCTAATGGGTTGGAGAAAAGTCGCGTAAATTTCCGTCAGATTTTTTGCACTGTTTTCCCCAGCTCAGGGCACTTCAGTTGATTTTTCTGCCTGTAATGGTTTTTAGATTCTATCCTTTTGTGTATATTGAGGGGTCTACGGCAGTTTTACCGGGAGTTACAAGGATTTTAGTCGGGTCGGGCTTTGCGCCTATTCACCGGCCTGCTGAAGCTTGTGCCACCTAACAGTAACTCTACCGATTGTTTACTAAGCTACTCTGAAGTGGTTTCCATCAGTAGTATTACGGGTGGTAGATTTTCGACGATCTTTGAGGACTTTATGGAAGGATGGTAACACGGTGAAAGGCGGGCTCGCAAACTGTGACATGCACAGGACTAGAAATTTACATATTATAAATGTGACTCGTTTCCTTTAATATACAGTGGATGGTTGTCAGCAATTGACACTGTAGTTCAGGTTACCATATGTGGTCTTCTATGTCTGACCGGTCATTTCAAAGTATGTCATATATATCATGCTCGAAAGCGTCCCCGCTTATCTTTTGGATGAGATTGTCCAAGACAAGACGCTTTATGGAGCGAAGAATTTCACCGCAGAAGTAAACTGATACACCCATGTTATGACGCCGCTGTGTGAAAATTTTCTGCATCAGTAATACAGCACTCCATTACGTAGCTATTTCTTCCCCCCAGCTTGCGGCTGGTTTCGTTTCCTCAGCGCAACTGTTTTGGTTCACAGCCTTCATGCAATACCCTGTCCTCGATTCCTGAAATCAAGCCGCTCAGAAATGCAAAAGCTCTTACCGCAGCGTCCTGTACAGGAGGTCACGAAATAGGTCCAGAAACGGACAGTTGTGTTGTACCACTTAGTATTACTGCACTCTCATATGTCAAATTGTGATACCGAGTAAGTTCCGGGTATGCTTATCTTCATATAGTATCTACCGACGTGAAACGTAATCAGAAAATACCACCTCATCTCCGTTTTCTACCTTCAGCCTGAAGAGGATATCGCAAAGATCACGTCTAAACCTTTCTTGGAATTGGTTCACCTGTTGAAGTCTGGTCAGCTAGCACCAGAACAAGTACTTTTGGCATATCAGCACAAGGCTTTTGAAGTGGACACTCAATGTAACTGCGTTGTCGAATTCCTCTATCCAGACGTGAGTGTCGAATTTTTTCACGTGTGGTTTCACTCCACTTACTTTCTACCTTCAGTTTGAAGAAGCCTCTCCCTCTTGTCACTGAGATGAGCAGGTGTTCGCCGGATTGGCCATAGTATGGGCCGGAAGAACCGCATCTTGTACGCTGAATATGTACTGCGCTTTGAAATTAGTTTGGTCATTTAGTTGTCCACAATTGGTCACAAATGGCAGTTTGTAAGTAGAAATCGTTGCGAACGATTTACTAGTTCAATAGCCGAGCTTACGGAGTGATCATTTTAAGTCCTCAGTGATTTTGACCCTAGTCTGTGGGCCTTATAAAACGCTGCAGCAACCTGCACGACAGTCTCGGTTTGTTACTATGGTACCAGACAGAAGATGCAATCCGTGTCAATGTTTCTCAGTAAGCTGGTTCTAAACTTCTTGTTGACAGTACGATATGTGCACAAGCAGTGAGCCTCTGTCTTGCTCGAAAATCCTGGTGTAAATCGATTATGTTCATTTGCCGCTGGTCCTGTTTGGACAATGTTTTCTACTACTGGAACGGAAACAATGCGCCAACATTGTGTTGCAACCAAATTACTGACTCATTTTATTGACAACTACTCGAGTTTCCCCCGTAATAACCTTTATTCATACATAGCTGGAAACTGAAGCTAACTGGAACCTCATCAGTTGTTTTCTTTCATAAGTACGGACGCCGTTAATAATTGAATCCTCGCATGATCAAAATTTCTATACGTGTACTTCAGAGTTCTTGTTCATTTTGGCTACTTGGCTTTGGTATTTTCTGGTCCCTTGTGCAAAGAGCTGTTAGAGAGAGGTTGTCGTGCAACAAACTGACATCCGTACAACACAGTTTTGATGTATTTTGCTGAGTTATCCTCCAGCTAGCTCAGCAGTATATTACGGACCATAAGTCCTGCGGTTCGAACCCAACCCTGGCTTGTTGGTTCTTCCTGTCTGGGCCTGGAAAACTTTGAATTATCGTAACCCTGCGGTTGAACCCAACCCTGGCTTGTTGGTTCTTCCTGTCTGGGCCTGGAAAACTTTGAATTATCGTAACTCTCCGGCTTCTCGGTGGCGTAGCGTCTGTGCACCTAAAGTATGCCGTGACTCTATTGGTCATCCTCCCTTGGTTTGGTCTCCTCGCATTGTTCAATCCGAAACACTACCATGAAATTTACAACTAACAATAGTGTCACCTTCCGTCGCGAAGATACCGAACCTCGTCGTGATGCGAAGGATTGCGTACCTTATTAGCCTTCTGAACAGTATTGGAGGATACCCGTGCAACTTCTACAGTCTGTCTTATCAGTTTGGTGAGTGGACAGGAGCCTAGTAAACTTGGTCACCTGGTTCTCTATGTCGGGATTTGCAGCAAATGCCGTAATTTGTTTCCTAAAATTTAGACCGCTCCCATAGCCTTATGCCCACCACCGCTGCCTTGCGGTCAGGCTTTTGGACCAGAGATCTTGACCGGGGTGCCCAGTTATCCTCACGTATAGGTCAGTATCTAAGCCCACATGCAACTATGAAATATACAGCTAAGTGTACGTTTATGCCACTTCGGTCTTCCTGCGGTGACATTTGCCGGACTGCCGTACTTTACTACATATGGGAGGTTGAATAAGTGAGACCATGCGACTGCTAATGTCTCTCACCTTTTGAGATCTTGACCGGGGTGCCCAGTTATCCTCACGTATAGGTCAGTATCTAAGCCCACATGCAACTATGAAATATACAGCTAAGTGTACGTTTATGCCACTTCGGTCTTCCTGCGGTGACATTTGCCGGACTGCCGTACTTTACTACATATGGGAGGTTGAATAAGTGAGACCATGCGACTGCTAATGTCTCTCACCTTTTTTTCGTTTTTATCCTTTAACTCTCATCCTACTTAATATTCACTCAGGTGGATCCCGGGTGTAGACCTGGCAGTCAGGCAGTCGTGAAACTGGTACATCGTCCATCACCTCACACCTATCACCTTGCATCCACTATTCCCCTATATATATAGTGCGGCCTTTAGCGTGCGTTGGGCAAGTTGCTCAAAATGGTACTCTTGCTCATATTCTGGCTTTTTTAAATTACATCCGCAGCATCTCTGAAAATCGAATACAAGTTCCAAGTTCACTGCATCCTTTCTATCCAAACCCTATTGACTACGAACTTCGGGTGATTCTGTCGCTTTTGGACCGAGTTGCACCGACGTTGGCATAGCTGGAAGTTCTCTGGCTGAGACTTCACTACCCGACAGAGTATTTGCAAGCAGCAATCTCTGTGCTCTCCGAATTCCCACACTCACAAAACTCCCATTGGTCGGAATACGGAGTGCTCTTTGTCGTGTCCAATTATGTGGCAGTTCTGCTTCTTGGAAAGACATCTCTCAAGAACCAGTCATTCTTTTGTCCACCAAAAAGAGTTCAGATGCAGTCTTAATAATGCACAGGTAGGGTGCCCCAATTCGTCGGAGGCGCCTTCATGATGTGTTTGACATGAGCACGAAACACAGTGATAATGTTGACCCTATTTTTCACCTTTTTTCTGGCCACCAGTCGTTTCCCAGCAGTAGTGGATTCAGAAGCAGTGGGTGTGGTTGTGTCGTCTGACGTCCCGTGATGCTAAAACGCCTTAGAGTCAAATCTACCAGGTCGTCATCATCTACCGACGGCGGAGTTCAGTCCGTGCCTGTCAGTAGGGGGTGAGATGGCCCAAGTGGTTAGAGCGCGAATTTACTGACCCGAAGGTCCGTGGTTCGAATCCGACCCCCGCCACTCGACTTCCCCTATGTAGGCTTGGGCAACCTGGCAGTATCCGAGCCCTCGTGCTTCCTTCGGGTGGCATGGCAGCTAGGCACCGGAAGGGTGCTACAGCTGAACGCTTTCTTTTCTTTTCTGTCAGTCGCCTTGGAATACGCAGCTTGGTTTAGGTCACGATCTTGTACAGTGTGGGTTTTCATTAAATTTGCCCGGTGAGCCTAAGAAACGGTATCCCCATTTAGCGGTACAAAAGATGTATGAGCCGCTATTTAAGGAATCATACCAAATCTTACAATACAATGCATTGTAAACTACCTTCTCAGACGAAATTGACTTTAACTCGGAGGAGATAACCATGGCTATACGCGACTCTGGAAAATCAGCTTGTGGCGTCTCGGAGCACACACGGAGTCATTGGATTTCAGAACGATCACCACTCCTTGATACCAAACACTCTATCTCCCCGGGCTCAGCACAATGCAGCTGGATGGTCAATTAGACCACAGCTCCAGCGGGGCCCATGTGTAGACATAGAGGCATGATGGTCAAGAAATGGAGAAGACCAGTGCGATTGGTAATGCACGTAAGCCGTTTCAGCTAAGCTAAGACAAGACCTAAAAGATCTTCCGAAGGTGAGTTAGAGGTAATATTGGAACTTCAATGTGCTAGTAACCAGCATCCAGATCAATTATCGGAATATTTTCACCAGCAGTTTATTTGATACTTGGCTATACTTCGATCCACCGATTTTCAGTTCGGCCGCCCTTCCCCCCGTTAGTTTCTGATCTACTGATGCGTTTTTCTACATTAAAGCGCTTCGGGCTGCTTGTTTAGGTGACCATTATTCAAAAAGGGTGTTTGTGTTCTGTCTTGACTGGGCTATTCATACGTACTTTGGAACAAGAAAACTGGGCCAATCGTACTTGTGCTCAAGTGTTAACTAACCCACCGTTCGAACCATGAGATTATATGTCGCAATTCAGCTGCAACACAATTGCTGGCTTCCCTACAACGTCTGATTTCGTCCCGTAAGACGACATCCTTAAAGCATCAAGCAGGATTTCAACATGGATGCATTGACTATATATTTATTTGCTCCTGAGCAGCGCACCGCCGACCACCAGTATCGGTTTTCCTCGTCTTCAAAAGAGTCTTCGACCCACTTCCCAAAACCTGGTCCACTTAGGTGCTCCTAATGTATACACTCTGAAGCAAGCAGAATAACAAGCTGCTATTGCTCCTGCGTTGGATTCCTTCTTCGTTGACCTATGTTGTGTGCCAGCCCGATAATTCACGCTATATGTGAACTTGCTTCCCACTTCCGAATGTGCACCTCTGATGATGTATTAATCGCTGCTGCTGGATACGCTGACGGGGGCATTGTGTTGAGTAACTAAGTGGAAGCATTTCCAGTTCATTAAGTACGCGTTGATAATCGCCTTTTCTTTCGTTTGGTGACACCTGTAGAAGAATCGTGAGATTGAGGTCCATCGCTTCTTGTTTACTGCTGGTAACTACTCATAGCGATGCGTAGGTTCACCTGGATGTCTTAACTTCAATAAGAGATCCATTGGCAACGAAGGGAGCAAGTGTGTGCTGTTCACATACGGTTTATTTGAAGCATCGGTTCTCAGGCTCAGCGGTTAGAGCGCGAATTTACTGACCAGAAGTTCCGTGGTTCGAACCCAACGTATGCACCTCCACTGCTCCTGTCTTGGCTTGGACAACCCGGCGACATTTCAGCCCTTGGCTTCCCTCAAGTGACATGGCATCTAGGCACCGAAAAGTTGTTGCAGCTGAATGAAGACGGTTTGCAAAATAGTGAAACATGTTTGATCACGCGGTGCCCACTGAGGAAGGCAAATACACCACATTGTGTCTATCTTCAGAAAGCGTACTCGAATCGGATGTTTTGGCAATGGACATATCAGTATTAAACGCGTCTTGACGAGAATCTTAATACCGCCTATTATTCCCCCTTTTAGGACAGCACATGAAAGCTTGATCCGTGAGCAACATGCCAGATTTCGACTTTAGCGGCTGCGTTGACGTGATCTTCACACTCCCTGAGGTGTTAGTGCAGCAACATGCAGTCGACCCACAGTGTTGATGTTGGTTGACTTCGGTGGTGTGCGTCCCCTGTTTAGTTCCAACTGAGTTTGTTCAGAAAGTAATTTCAGAGAAGCTCTTAAGCATAATTCGGTCCTGATACTCACGTAGTTTTAGTCGTGTGGAGAGAAAAGCTTTCCAAAAAACCCACAAGATCTGATGCCCGGTTAGGATGTTTCCTCTCCATCAGTGTTCAACGTCATGGATGCGCTAGCGGGGCGAACGCTTGAGAGTCCCTGCTGTGAAGACTGTTGCTGGTGCAATCTTTTTCATTCGGGAGTATGAAGAATACACCGCCTTAGCCGCTGAAGACGAGCAGAAAGCACATTCGCATTGGGTGAAGTCTACCTCTCGGTTTGCTTTTTCAGTACACATTCTGAAATCGACCTGTGGTTTGTGGGTTTAGATATCTTCCTCCACTTTGGGAGTGCAAATGTATCCTCGAAACTCCACTGGACCGCTAATGCACATGGGCTTCCAACTGCGCTGTCTTAACGCAAAACAGTTACGGAGCGATCGGTTCAACTATATGAGCATAAGCCTGATTTCGCAACTACTAGCTTCCATTATACTGCATCGCTCAACTACCGTGGGCGAGACGCGAAGGCATGCGCATCAAACGGGACCTCATCCAGGTAAATGGTGCATAGGTGACATCTTTAACTTACACCAAGACATAAGATATACCGACATGCACACATACCGCCGACCAATAAAAACTTTTCTTTGCTTCCAACCATCCTGTGACTTGGTAAATAGAGTAACCACATATGGTTGAGTAAGTAGAGAGGTCTGTGAAGTTTGTAAATATCTCCCATGCTGTCTATTTAAATGTTCCTTTTGCATAGGAGTTTGCGACGAACTTGACCTTAGTTTGTTCGCTGAGCTACTAATGTTTCTTTCAGTGACCATAAGCTGTCCAAAAGTTCTCCCGCAACTAATGAAGATAGCCCGAACTGCCCTCTATCTCATCTTTGTCCAGTTTTATCATTCATGAAATCTAGTTTATCGGCAGTCAGCAGAGTCGAAGTCTTACGTTGATATTTTCAATTCCTCTCTGCTCCGTTAGAAGAAAAGAGCTTGGGCATAGTGGTACCTTTACATATCTGGACAGCTAACAAAATGCGATTGGGGTGCGACCAATGAAATCCATGCACACCATTGGCTATTGGCTAATCTGGTTTCATCCCTGGCGTCAGAGGTAAATTTCAACGGGAGTAAAATGGCCTAAAGACAGTTTTACTTTGTGATGTGAAACCCAAATTCGAACTCCTTCAGATACTTGATCACCTTGCCCTCGTAGCATAGCAAGAGTTTGTGGGCTGCAGCATGTGGAATAATGCACGAACAAACACTCGTTAACGAAACAAAATTAATAGGTCAGCAGAGCATTTAATCAGTTGTTAAAGTACCTAACCATAGTTCGCCACCTCAAACGGTTGCTCTAAAAATGTTCGTAGTAGTAGTACGAAATAAAGGCAACCACACGCAAGCTCACCAGTGTGCGACCTTGCCCGCTTGGTTAGAGTCCATGTAACTTTCCTGTCATCATGTTCGTGACTTTGTTGGACATGGCACGTGACCGATATGTTGTGATTTTACGGGATCATTACCCCGATGTGCGGATGATCGACTAGTAATCTACAGTTTGGATAGGCATCTACGTATCTGCTACTCCTCTGAGTGACTCGTCGATTGGATTCCATGTGTACTGAAAATTCTTGGAGTTCTAGTGCTAAGGTGATGCGGTCTTTTCCTTTTACCTCTGACTTGACTTCCATTCCTTTGTCTCCAGTTTTCAGAAATCAATTTGAATGGTCCGTTTTCCGGGGTACCGATCAGTTTAAAAGACAATTATTCTATCAAAGTAAGTTTCCGTTAACTCCTCACTTCTTAATCTGAGCGAGAAATTCTCTGATTGTGATTGGTAGAACAGCCTATTTTTCGCACCTCCGCTTGTTTTTTGCCAGGCGAACCTAATTCCAATGAACTATTAAGCACAGGAATGACCTCGCACTTTTTAAGGGACAGCTTACTGGTACAAAGCACTGTTAAGTTCAGAAATGGACTAGTCATGAATGCTTCACCTTCCACTGCAATAAGACAATGTGCAGATACCAGGAAAATCTGGATATGGTTAACTTATGCTGAAGGGTCTGAAATACGTTTCATGACTTAGAATCTTCAACAGCATGTATCGTACTAATCTCTGGAGAAGTTTCAATGCATCTTACGTCTAAGGAAACACGAGTAATCTGTTCGTTAAGGAAAACGTCCCACAATTAATGAGCTCTTCCTCCGAGATGCCTCTCGAAAGGCCAGTCATGTGAATTGAGTCACTTGATTGGAGGATGAATATTTCTGTATGTTTCCTAAATATTAGTGCGGCACATTTCTGATCAACTCTCGTAGCTGGATAGTAGTGGTCAACCTCTCATTCCAAAGTTTGTTGGTTCATATCTCTTTGGAATCCGAACGAAACAGTCGTTCGAAATTCTCTGCTTTTTAGCTTGATTTGACGTCATCTATTGAATAGAATTCAGGCGGGAATTTGACGACCAATTTCAGATTGCACTCGAAGGATGCGTCTCAAATGTGTGGTATGATCATCTTATCTGGATGATTTCCTCCTTTGTGTTTTCCAACATACTTTGCGCCTCACGGCTGGGTCACTCATTTAACCGCTTACTAGGCTGTTTTTACGCCTTTACTATCCGTCTGAACGTTATCTTGCATATTCTTTCCCCTATTTACTCATAGGGCTGTGAAAGCTACGTTGGTATGGCTTGTTACCTCACGGGCCCAGCGGACAAGGATTCAGTCATGGTCACTGTACTAAAGTCGCTAGGCGCGGTGCCATTTGTACGGACTGCAGTCCCCCAAGCCATGCTCAGGTTAGTGATTTTTGGGGGAGAAAGTGGTCCTTAGTTTTCTTTACTGAAATTCGGTAAAGTCTCCTCTATGAATCCGTAACTTTGTGGTGCGAAGTTCCTGTTCTAGACTGTGTTTTGTTATTCATACTCTAAATTAGATCGCCACTCGTTTACTGATCTCTAGCCAGATGACGCACGTGACATTCTGTGGAGGGTTGGACTATGAAATCAGGATGTTTTTTAAGGTGACTATCGTAGACGTGTGAGAAAAACACTGTCATATGGCTTTACTGCGTACTGTTTTTTTTTTGCTGGTTACCGTGAGCAAGTTGGCATTCAAGAGATTACGCGAGATTACATTGTGTGTCCCCATATCTGTCAGAGTTGAACCTGAAATAGTACCAGCGCCTGTTCAATTTATTGCATTCTGTGAAACAGCTATGTGAACGCATTGCGCTATTTGATCTAGTTTCTTCAGCAGATTCCTCATTCGTCTATGTACTTTGTATTTTTTTGTGGAGTCGGATTTGTAACCACTAGTTCATCACATGCTAGTTTTCAATCGCTTCTTCGGCGAAAACTGTTCGTTTCTCAGGTGAATTGTGAGTTGTGGTCGATTGGTGTGCAACTCATCCGTTCAAATGCTCATTTGAAGCCTGCTCATTCCTAGACGGGGCTCTCATTCCAGTGATCCCTCAGTCTACTTCGCACCGTACACTCCGGCACATCGCGTCACCGTTTTTACTTGACTAATTTCTTGCAACCATGCTCCGGATGGATAACAAGTACTGAGAAGGTCAAGTCAATTTTATTCATTTTGAAATGCTGTCAGTTAGTGAGAAGCTAATAGTAGTTTTTCTCTGTAGTTCTGGAGCTCTTGGGACTCAGTTTATGTTATAACCCCAAGCAATTGATGGTACAGGACCTGAATTGCACAGTTCATCAGCATAAACAACAATGGTTTACATATTATTGTTTCCGTTGTGCTAAGGTCAGCTGCTTACTTCAGAGGCCGAACTTCCAGATTGTCACTCAGAATCAGAGTTTTCCAAGAATAAAATGGTCAGGATACAATACGTGGTAGCTAAGACTGACAACGGGACCTGCATACGGTGTACAGCTGACGGTGATAGTGCTTAGAGCAGTTCACGGTTCCAGAGGCGGTTGACGGCATGTATAGGACTTCCTGTAGCCACCTCTCAACTTCCCGGGCGATGAAAGCATCAATGTGCAACTCTCCCTACCGTTTGTAATCCTCAAGGTCACTCTATTCAATACCTGCGCACTTCGAGACGCGGAAGGTATGAAAATGTCCAATAGTTGACCCACAATGAATTGATTACCATAAACTCATAATAATGGGGTGACTCGCGAATACTATAAACTGGGTGGATTCAGTTACACAAACTTTGCAAGAATTACTTTGATGTCACCCTTAACAGGTCCGCCGAATAGCATAGCGAACAATATAGAGTGATAAAGGTGAAGTCGTGACCTAGAAATCAGCGGCCAGCTGAACAAATTAACAACGCTGCAACTTCAGCTGCACGACAAGTCGAATGTGCAGTCTCTCGGACTATGTATACCTGCTTTATTTTAAACCAGATCAGAGTACATGATAAAATCTAAAGCTTTTTGAACCGGGCGGTCTCTCGTTTGCTTAGTCTAGCTTCCTCATTATCCGACTATTTCTCTCATAATTTCCACGCACGTCCCTGCGTACTAAGGGCTGCCTATCAGTAGTATTGAATCTATAAGTGGCCCTGTTCGGCTGTATCCTCACCGACTGCACAAAATTAATGGCTCAGGTGTAGTACCCTTTTGGTGCCTCGCTGCCGAGCCACCCGAAAAAGACACGAGCGCCGAGATACTTCCAGTTTGTCCAAGAATTCATGGGAACAGTCGAGAGGCAGAGATCGGGTTCGAACCCCGGACCCTTCGGTCTGCACCTTGAACACTGAACCATCTCGTGCCTGACTATACAGTCTTAGCAGGAATGCTTCATCTGCTGCGAAGTAAAAATATCATCAACATTACTACCTGCACACGTCAGCTATTATCAACTGTTCAACTCTCAGTGACTTGATCACGGCAGATGCAAAGCAAGACACTCCACCGCTCCGCTTTATTCTACTGAATACACTATTCTGTGCTTGCGAATCGCGTTTGTTTAAACTTGTCATGTGATTCAGCTCACGGTTATTCTATTTCTTCCTAGGAACACTTTGAACGCTAAGTTTACAATGGCCGATTGTTTTACCAACGTAGCTTCTTGGCAGTGCACTTCATTTCACATTAAGAATACTCGCTCAAGTCATGCATTATGTATGCGTGTCTGGCAACCGTTGGACAAGCAAATGATAGAGGGAAGTGCATAGAGGGATGTTCACAGCTGCGTGTGGCACGGCACTTAATTTTTCAAGGAAGGCTATTAAATTCCACATTGATGTGTGTTATATCGCCTTATACTTCTGTTTCAGTGTACTTTCTTCCAATCCAATCGATGGAACTGTGTTCAATCCACTGGACATTTCACGCAGTCCAGCCGGTAGCAGTTCTGGTGAGGCTGCTTTGATCGGTGGCGGAGGTTCCATCTTGGGATTCGGAACGGATCTGGGTGGTAGCATTCGACTGCCTGTCGCAATGTGCAATTGCGTCGGCTTCAAACCTACTCCGGGTCGTCTGAGGTAAACGGTACAACTATGATAGCGTCTGTCTGACATTGGTCATTATAACAACTTATCACAGTGGTTACTAACATGGACTAGGGCAACTTCTAAAGTCTGACAGTACTGAACTTTCGTTTCTGCAGAATTGCTTGCAACTAGCTCGTTACCAGGTGATGTTTCTTCACAATTCATCGCCCACAGGAATCACTCTTAATAGAATTCGTACGCACACAAGGGTGAACAGTAAGTCCACTTTCCGCTTGTCAGTCCAAAACTTCTTAGCTCAGAAATGGTGGATGCAACGTGCATGAGCATTCAAGTGTTCAGACTGGTATCGTACTCGAGTCTTACCACACTTGAAGCACAGTTTAGTCACTACATTTAGGTTGCCTAACCACACACTTATACCATGCAGCTGTCGGTGGCCATTTGTAGAAATAGCTTCTCTAATGATACCGACGTATTCCTGATCAATCTAATCACTTCTAGAAAGCATACAGTTGTCACTCCCAGGAAACTACGTCCTTAGGACCAGGGGAATAACTTTGTTAGGATTTCATCCTCTTGTTCAGCTGCAGCGCCCTTTTGATACCTAGCTACCATGCCACCGGAAGGGAGCACGAGGGCTTGGATACTGTCAGATTGCTCCAGCTTATACAAGGGAATTCGAGATGCAGAGGTCGGATTCGAACCGCGGTTCGACCTTCTGGTTAGTAAATCCGCGCCCTAACCCTTGCGCCATCTCGCCTCCCAATTCATCCTCTGAGAAAAATGGGTCCATGACAGGATTCCAGGAAGCACCGTAAAGCTGTTTCCTCTTGTTAGCAATCATCAGCAGTGCGCCTCACACGAATCTCTAGAAAGACTGGAACCTGCGATCTCCCGATTAGTAGTTAGACACTACCCTTTGGCCACGACCGGCTGTTCAGCAATGGGATTAATCGGAGCTGATACGAGGTGTAGCACCACTCATCAAGTATGCAGTGTTCCTTTTGGTGCCTTAAACTCTTCCGTCATAACCGTTCGAGGCTTCTTCTAGGATCTCTATAGTAAACCATCTCCAACAGCCTTTCAGTTACTTGCCATGATTTATTCCACAGTATGGAGCCTTTATAGGCGTCAGAAAGAATCGTCTTTTAATTAAATAAGGAGTATAGGTTTCTTCATTGCTTGGAACCTATAGTAATGTAGCGAAAATTTTTGAAAAGGTGACAGTTCTTTGAGTTCATAAATGTTTATGCCTACTTGCTGTGCTCCGGTCGAACTCTAGACCTAAGCTGTGCATGAGAGAGTGAGCTCAGAGGGTGGACTTTGTTGATTATCTATTCCATAATAGTGTTGCGTTCTGTGTCACTAAGGCCAATGGCGCTAAAAAGATGGTGAACCGCTGGTCTAAACCAAGCCAGCCAGTTTCAGACAGGCTCAAGATCGTTGGTTGCCTGTCGTAAATATGTCCGTGTTGATCACTGTCACCTCTTAAGGGCCCATAGCTTGTCTTACCTAGCAATGTTGTGGAATGCATATAGCTCGGGTGCGCTCCCAATAACGCACTGATGATGTCACCTAGATTGGTGGTGAAACGTTTGCAATCCAACTACCAACAACTTGCCTTACCTATTTAGTAGTCGACTTCACTGATGCTTTTAAAACCAATCGGTGTTGCTGTGTGCGTAGCCAGCAACAACTTGCCTATTTAGTAGTCGACTTCACTGATGCTTTTAGAACCAATCGGTGTTGCTGTGTGCGTAGCCAGATTGGTTTGGTCTCTGCGCTAACATTGTGTGTACCCTTTTCTTCTGCAGCAAACGGTTGATGCTCAATACGAATCGGTTTATGACAAGTAAGTGGAAATTTCCTCAGCCTAATGCGCGCGCTGTCCTTACTTCCCTTTCCACCTTAATCAATATCGTTTGTCAGTTTTCCATTTCACAATTGTAGTCAGAAATTTTGGACATTAATTACATTGTGTTATTTCCTCTTTGAGGTTATATCAGTCAAACACGTTAGATCACCGAAATGGAGAAGACAAACAACTTCGAGGAAGTTATACTGCAAGCAAATGGATCGTTCCGTGGTATGAATTCAACTGAAGCAGAATATAAAAAGAGCTAACAGTCCAATAGGATGTCAGTGAGAGGCTGGAATGTAGAAACAAGGTTTTAGTATACAAGACAAATCGTTAGTTAAATGGATTTGTTCGCTTGGAGGTAGTCCTCCTAACGCATTGCAACACTTTAGTGGTCTGTTAATTTTACGTTATGTTGGATACAACCACTCCATTAACTTGATAGTCGTGCTCTTCAGCGCTCACCATGTTTTCGTTTCCACCGCCAGCTAAGTGGAATAGTCAAATAGTCAGTTCACTGTCACAAATCTTGTGTGAACTGTCGCCAAATTTTTTCACTGTACTCAAATCGTTGGCTCCTGAGGAATGCCAGCTTGTTAAAAGTGTCTTCAAGTCCCCTGACTCTCGGAGGAAGTTGCTTCACGCCTTAAAAACTTTCTACTTATTCTTTCGTACTGTTTCTTCTACCCCTATCTGTCTAGCTGATTCCTCTTGTGGTCCAATCGCCCGCGATGTAGACACGTGCATCACATTAATGAAAGCCTTGTTTGATTCTCCGTTGCATCATGAGCTGGACTACTTCGGTGCGCCCTTATGCTATTCCACTAATGTAAGTGGTAACTGTCTTCGTGGTATTTCAGTGAACCGATTTTGTCTGACCGGCAGTCTTGCTTGTTTCTCTCTTGTTCTCTTGGTAGATGGGACACTCTTTGCCGACAATACGAGCAAGTATAAAGTATGTACCTCAAAGGAGGGTTTTATGTTGACGTAACGTCAATGGCTGCCAAATTAGATTATAACAGACTGCAGTTTTGTCGCAAAGCCTAATGGTTGGTGGATTTCTTTCAAAAAACGTGCGTCTTTTTCGAAAAAGAGCGTCATCAGGAGGGTCACTTATGAGACTCGGTCTACGAGTTATCTGTCGCAGAAGAGATCGCTTTTGGTCCGTCCTTTAAGACGGTTCCTCAAGGTAGGCCAACTGTACAATCGTGTCCTTTTGAAGATATCGATCTTTTCGAAAAATGTAGTAAGGCTTTAGCGAAATACACTCATTTGCAAACAAATTTGGTTTTGCGAGAGACTCGCCTTGAATCCAGCTGAATTTCTCGTTTGTGACGTTTCCAGGTAATCTAATGTGCTGCACCAGGCCGCCTCATGTTTCATTTGCTACAATATTCGAGATATCCCGATACATGCATATTCTTAATGCACTACTCAAGGTTGCTGAAAATTCTTCAACAGCTCACGACCGCTTTCGCCCTTCTTGAGGCTCATCAGGTAGGCGCAGTCCCCGAGTTCCCGTCAACCTTACGTTCCACTTCAAACCTAATTATACGAAATTGGCGAAATAAGCTCACTTCCAAATAAGTTTGGTTTTGCGAGGGACTCACTTGGAACCCAGCTGAATCTCTCGTTTGTGATGTTTCCAGACAAGGAAAGCTTTTTCCTCTCGGAAGGTTGCCCTCAGCTACTCACTGAATTGTTTCTTTTTCGAAATTTTGTCTCTGAAGGAAGGGTCTGACCGTGGAGGAACTTACAAAAGACATACCGCAAGTGGTCTTATCTGAACCATATTTTTTACAGAAAAGAGATTTTGGGAGTCGTATGCTATACAACGGAGTCATGTACTACAATCCCAACTCACTTCGGGGAACAGTTTTGTCTACTTGTCATAGGTCAGGTGCCTAGTCTTTGTCAGAATTCATGAAATCCCCATGCAGAAATTCGCATGCTGGTTTCTTTTAAGAGATTTTTGTGCCAAAGGGACCTCCAGAGTGGTGGAAGGATTTATCGGGTAGCTTCTCAAAACATGTCCATTTCAAGCCTAACGTCTCGGATTAGCATGAGGAAATCTCTTGTGATGAGCTTGCCAGGAGAGTTGCTGTTTATTTACCATCCAGAAAACCACTAGTTGAACTAGTAGCACTCTTGTGGCGCCTTACTGTTAAGCCCATCCAATCGTTATCCCTCCCCAGGAATCGCCGTGTGAAGCACCTTAACGAACTGTCGTGCAGTTCCAATAGGACCGCCACTCCTTGTCCACCCTTTGCTTTCACCCATTTCCAGTGAAACTGTAGTTTTCCGGTCTCCAAGCACTTGTCTTGGGTGGATTTTACTTTTTGTGCTAATATTTGAAATCATTTTAAACCGATCACTCATCTAACCTACCTTTCTTGGAAAGCCGAGAGGCACCCTACAGCTGTTACTGTCAAGTTGAGGATCCGAGCAACAAGACATCTAGTGTTTCTACACTTTGAATGCTGTACTTCCTGGTGATTCACCCACTTGCATTTTCTCTCTGATCGTAAGTGGAGCTAATCTAGTGTTCCAACTCTCTCGTACATAGTTATACACCAAGCAACTCAAGGTAGATTGCCAATATCGGTGTTCTCCTCCTTAAGCACGTATCCATGACGTTCTCTTGGTTGAATGTGGTTAAAACTGGGAAACCTCTGTCCTTTGTTTTGCAAACCTTTGCTTATAAGCAATAACCAGTTGAAAGAACTAGTTACTCCTAACTTTTGCTTGAACTTCGTTGCAGATCCCAACGGGGAGACGTCTTCGAATCGGTTACTTCGTTGACGATGGGAGCACGCCACCAGTTCCTGCTGCGCAACGAGCCGTGTTAGTGGTTAGAGACAAACTTGCTGCACTTGGACATGAGGTAATTTATCCTTACGGTCTTGCTTGCCTGCTCTTCCTTCTAGATAAGAAAGGTTGTTTTATCCAACACGTCTGTAGATCTCGTTACCTATGTGGCTGACCTTACGCAGTTAGGTTACAATTCCGTCTGCACAGGACGTTGATTCAACTTATTTCTTTTCTGAACACTAGAACTGGAAGCATAAGAAGGTCGAATTTAAGCAAATAACCAGTAGTATTGTGGAGTTTTTCCTTTAAAACACCGCATGCTTTTTCTCTTGTTGAGAAGTATGCAACGGAACCTTCATTCTCACTGTCTTCATTGCAACCGACCAGGAAAATTTTCGGACAACAATCTCTAATAGATCAGTCATCGTACGACTCCGAGCGAAGTATCTACCTACGTCCCTGAACATGGTACCTCCTTCACTTCACTACACTGCCTGTTTAATGTCTTGTTAGTTATGAGGCGGGAAAGTGATATGAAAACAGCTGATCGATCTCACCTATGATACATGAAAGTAGGCTTGGTTTATCACTTTTGTTTTTTTCACTGCCAGTTAGTTTTTCATTCGTAATCCAGGCATTGGAGTTTACCGTCTAAATTAGCAGGCAATCCAATTTCCAAGGTTGATAAAGAACACAACAATTAGGTAGCGCATTTGATGCATCCTTGTTCCGCAACATCACGAAGATCAGCAAATTCCGTTCAAATCGAAAAACGCTGAATGTTCTCAGTCACGTCAAACTCCGAGACTAGTACTAGTTGATCCGAACATCAGATTGGGTACGAGCTGGTAATGTGCCGTAACGAAGTCCTACAAATATCCTGATTTGATTGGTTGAGACCCCTGTATTGAGCATAGGTCGAGTGACAGACCGTTGGCACGCGGATATGTATTGCTCCTACTTACATGGCAAGCAAGAATCTGTCCTGCTTGCCTCCGAATATGACAGTCCAACGAACTACCAGGTTGGTCAGCCAGCACAAGCTTAAAACCAAACAAATCTCAACGTGTAGTAAATGTTGATGAACACTTTCGGATTTCTAATAGGCTCGTATGTATAACCGATTCAACGTGAGGCTTAGTAGCACTGAATGAGCTTTTCGATTCGAACGAGTGACTTCACGTTGTGGATTGTTTGGTTCGCACTTCTTTCACGCGAATGTACGCGGACAGCGCAACCTCTTCATTGCATCAGGGGATTCATTCTAGCACTGACTCTCGACTTCCCTGTCCGGGCTTGAGCAACCTGGCAGTATCCCAGTCCTCGTACCCCCTTCCGTGGCAATGGCAGCTAGTCATCAAAAGGGTGTTACAGCTGAATGTTTTTTTTAATTTTTACGTTGCTAGTGATGTAATCTATGCTAAATGCCATTGTAGTTGAAATGTTTCACTTCCGAGGGCCTGTTTTTTTGTTCCAAATTGCCTTCGGTTGGCGATGGTCCTTTGTTTTGGAGTGCAATCTCTTGGATGAGATCAGTCTTTCTATGTTAGGTTCATCATGGCCCCTATGCCCTTTGGTTAGGCTTGAAGCGTAATACACTGAATTCCAACTCTCCACGACGTCTCGAAAATCCGATTATAATGTGGGACTTCTTATGACATTAACTTCAGTGCCCCATTGACCTCAGTCACATTTCTCTTCGAGAAAGTGCTTTCACCAAAAAAGTGCAGGCCACTGTCTGATGATGAGCTTCGTCACTTAAACTGTAAAAATAACGGCAATCCTTGGTTCGCTGGGAATTTGAAATGCTTCCGGGTATTGACCGTCTTTTCTATGGTCTCAGTCACATTTCCGATCATATTTCTCCATGATGCTTAGTGTTTTCCCCTCGTGTCAGCCAGAGGAGTGACAGAATTCGACTCTACAGCAGATTAAGGAGTTAACCAAGTACAAAACATCGTCGTCCAACTCTACCGCGAATTCTGGCATGTGGATAATGAAGGCATTGCCTTTCGGATTTTCTATCCATCGTATAGCGCGTGTTACAAACAGCTCGTTGCTAACGGTCGGCTCCTGAACTATAATTTCCCGCGATATTCTACTAAAAGCGCTTTCTCAAGAACGTACCTTCATTGCCCAAAATTTGTGAGCATCTTGTTTACTCATCTGCTGCTTAACTACGTCTGTCATATGAATTTATTTGTCGACACTGTAGGTAAACCCATCCATTGTCATCTCTTGTCCAGCAACCGTCGTTCGAGCCCGTCTGCAGGCATCACGGACTGCGGAAATTTTTATAAGCATGATATTTTTGTTCAGCACTCTTGGATGTGCGTACGGAAGCATGTTTACAATGGTTTTAGCCTCTCGCCAACGCAAAGACTGTGTGTTGTTTGATTCCTAATCGTAAATACCACTTGGTTGTGAAAAATTCATCTACACAACCGCTTCGCCACATCTTCGATCTCCCTGATCACGCTAACTACTGAGCTGGTTTCAAAAAGGAGCACTTCACTCCTTTCTGATATGCACATTTGTGTAGAAATGTAATTGACGTGTAACGGGCGAATGGTATCTTCGAGTGACGCGTATTACCAGAACCTCCGGGTAGGTAAAACAAAGTCGGAGCTGGGTTTCTATACGGTACTATTAGTGTAAGGGAAATTAACAAATTATGGAAACCTCGACAGTAGATACGCGTCCAAAACAAACGGTCCACCTGAACTACAAAAGTACAAAGCAAGAGAGCAAACAGGCTCCCACGTGCAAAGTCGGATACAAATGGCCGGATGACCTCAAGGCCAAATGGGTGAAGTGGTAAGGACAAACAAACGTCAGTTCATATATACACACACTAAACACAAAAGTGGGGCAGGGTTTACAAACGGGAACAGAATAAACGTGGGGAATTTCATTGTCGACGTATTAGATGATACACCACGCGCCAAATTCTCCACATTGATTCAGCGGCCGCCCCGGTTCTTGCATTCTACCTACGTTCAGCTCCATTCTAAGGTACCCTATCAGCCACCGACACGAATGGTCCGAGTCCACTCCTGCCGCAAGTACCGACTTCGATGGAGTACAAGCCTGATCGCGTCCCTCCAGTAAACACACCCTTCTAATATCTTTCTTAAGAACGCCGCCCACCGTTCTAAAATGCAGGGTTCTTACTAAGCCATCTGGTCTCGCCTCACAACTATCCACTACCCCTAGAGGCCATTTCTCACGAGGCAGGTCCTCACCAGAACCAAGTCCCCTCGTTTCAATTCTTGAGTTTCTCTGAGCCACTTGGTACGCACCTGCAACGTGGGCAGATATTCCCTTATCCAACGACGCCAGAATACGCCAGCGAGATAATTGACCTGTTTCCAACCGGCATGATATCGCGAGGCCAAACCGTCGCGACTGGGTACCGCAGGACAGCACCGCATGAGCAACAAACTGTTTGGAGCAAACGGCTCCAACTCGTTGCTGTCTGATGATAGCGGGACTATAGGTCGGTTATTTAAAATCCGTTCTGCCTGTATAAGGAGCGTGTTCAGTTGTTCATCGGTCAAACACTGTTCCTTACATAGACATAAAAGGATACGCTCCAACACACCACCACGGTAGCTAGCTGCTGGTGGAATGAAGTGCCACTGTATATCCGTAGTCAAAAGCCGGTCTGATATTTTATTCAGACTCCACCGCTTTATATCATCCCGAAATTCCGTTAGTGCACCAACGAAGTTCGAATCATTATCACTGTAGATATCGGTGGGCCTGCCATGTCTACCAACGAAGCGCATCAAACATTGTAGGAATGAACCTGTTGACAGGCTGCCTGCCATTTCTAAATGGACTGCTCTAGTCTTCAGACAGCTAAAGATACAGCCATAGTGTTTTCCCTGCGGACGGCCGCGTTTGGTCTTAAAAAGTCCCAAGTAGTCCACTCCCACGCACTCGAAGGGGCACCAACCCGCTTTTACTCTGTCTACTGGTAATGGAGCCATCATTTGCGTACCGAGCTGTGCGGACCGGCGCCTGCATGGAGAGCACACACCAATCACTCGTTTAACGGCGCCGGTTCCATTGATAATCCACTGTCGCTGTCGAATAGAAGCGAAGTCCTGGTTACTCACAGTGCCGTTCTACTTCATGAAAGTGACGTATGATCAAGGCAGTAACAGGATGTCGGCTCGGAAGAAGAGCTGGATGTTTTACTGACTGGCCGTAGTTCGAGTAACTAAGTCTGCCTCCCACGCAAAAAATGCCATCAACCAAAACAGGTGACAATTTTCGTAAGCTGCCGTTTTGATTCCGATTGCTGGAACGCTTCGCATCAAGTTTTTTGGGTTAATAACTGGATGGCGTGGGAGATACCACTGCCTTGAATTTAATGACAATGTGGGAGCATCTGCCACCCGTTCAACGTATCCTTTCTCCAGGTATGCGCGAAGCACCTTATCGTACTTTCTGTGTAAAACACGATCTTTGCACAGCCTAGTTTTTAGATTATCTAGCTGTTTTTTAGCCACCTGGAAGTTATCGGGTAAGGCAAGTACGTCATCCTTCCGTGAGAGCGGCAGCTGATTGTGCCCACTTACTCGCACCGCACCAGTCTCTGCTATCAACGGTGCTCTTCGATCCTCCAAAGAGAGACTAGTGTCTGCGAATTTCGAGTTGTTCAGTCGCTGCAAATGCTTCTGGATGCCCCGACTGCACCCGGTTATACAATGACTGACGATCTTCTGCTTCGTCCCATTTTTCAACGGACCAAGAAGTATCCAACCGAGTAAGGTTTTCACAGCAAACGGCTGTTTTTTACCCCCCAGGCGCTGGTCGAAGACCCAGTGCGCTTCGGACACGTCACCCAATAAGGATTCCTACATCGTCTTCAGTCAGTTCGTCGAAGGCAACTTCCTTAAGGTGCGGCTACTTGCGAGCCGCTTTTCTGACAGATGGGACAGCTCGCATAGGTAAGCTGTCAACGACGAATTCCCTGTCAATAACAATCGACTGGCTTGCATCCAGTGATAAAAGCCTGATGTCATTAGCTTCCGATGTGCATCCCATGGAAGCACCCAGTGTATCAATGTCCATAGACGTGGGTAGCAGCCTGACCTCATTTTTCACCAAAAGGTCCCGCTTTGCTAGCGTTATGTCGGACCCAGCATCTAAAAATGCATACGTTGTCACCTTTCCTGCAGGAGTGTCAAGTTTGACAGGAATGACTCCTAGGCGTGCGGGAAGCCGACTACCTCGAGTTAAGGCACACAAAACCTCCGCCTCCGAGGACGTCGAAGCTTTGTTTCCAGGTTGTGGTGTATGTAAACAACCTATGATGTCGTCCCCTACAACCCGGCTGGCCGCATCGAACTACTGGCTTGCAATCCTTGGCCATGTGGGAGTTTCCTAAACAGGCAAACCATGCACTATGCTTCCGCATGCATTTCCATCTGTCAGGAACTTTCATAGACAGAAAGCGCTGGTAACTGGGAATTGGGTGCGACTGTGAACATAATGCGCAAGCACTTGGACGACCGTCTGGCCTGATGTTGGTTAAGAAACTGGTAAAACCATCCCTTCTAGGGGCTTAGTTGGTAGAAGTTGGCGTTACAGGAAGGCGTCTTACGTCCCCCTCTCGAGCCAGTTGCCCAAACCGACTCCTTGCAACTCGGGAGCGCGTGTTCACAAACTCCGTCAAGTCTGTGAACGTTGGGTCCCGGCCACTCATAGATATCTTATCTGCCACCTCAGCCCATTTGTGCTGCAATGGCGAGGGAAGATAACGCACAGTTCTCTGTACAACCGCCAATGGGTGCAAGTCTGAGACGTAACACATTTGCGTCAGCGCAATTTCGCAACTGCGAATTTTCATGCACAAGTCTGACAAAGACTTGGCTGCTCCAGTGGTCTGTCGTGCAAACCGAAGCAGGCTTTCTGGTAGACAGCGAGCGATAAGGAGGCTAAACAAAGAGATTGCGTAGAATCTCCTGAGCCTTGGAGTATGCTACTTCCGGCGGGAGCATCACACCTTCTTCAATGGCCGCCTTCGCATCGCCTCGACAGTAGTGGTTCAGATAAAGGAGCTTCTGACCGGCATCCTGCACCTTGCTTCAATGTATACCTCAAATTGGCGGGTGAACCTCCAACGCGGATTACCATCAAAGTATGATAGTTCCACCTTTGGTAGGTCCACAGTGGCTGACACTGGAGTAACGGAAATGGCCGGTTTTGGCCCTGGAGATGGCCCTCTGATATCATCAGCATATCCTACAGGTCTTTCCTCTATCTGGCATGGTTTCGTGTACTGCGTTAATCGTTCATTTGAGGCCACTGGTTCCCAGACTTCATCTAGTGCGTCCTCTTCGGCCTCCAGCCCAATCTTGGCGAACTCGGTTTTGCAATGTGCCTCTAAGAGAGCCCGCTGGAGCTCGACCTCTCGCTTAACCCGATACTCCTGGAGCTGAGCAATCCTTAAAGCTTCCTTTGCTACGCTACTTTTACAACTAGATGCACAAAGTGACTTACAAGAACCGGGGCACGAAGCAAACTGCATTGCATTCCCGCCCTCATTAACACGTCCGTTGTCGGACTCGCAAGATGGACACCGGTTATATTTGATTACAGTCAGCACTGTCTAGTCAAACATATAAATTATGCTTTCAGTCGCCTCCAGTAATACCCTCCACAATTAAGTTGTTACAACAACGGTAACTAGAACTGGGCTTACCGCCTGACCGTTTTGCCAAGGTTTTCCATTAGAGAGAGGTAAATCAACAACTGTATTCATTGTTGCTCCTACTTTTTGCTCCATAGCCTTCACCTTGGCCCCGTTAGTTGCTTCAGTGGGAATAGCCGTCAGGGTTATGCTACGCTGATAGCTGTTGTTGCTTCTGTTTCTTTTTTGTTTGGTAGCTTGTGCCTTGGCAACCCCCGGTTACGGGCACAGAATGGCTCACGATGTTTCTCACTACCTTACTGACTGATGGTGGAATGCCCCTCGTCCAAGCACTTCAATACGACGTTGTTGAACCGTCACTGAAAAAAGGATTAACGATTTACGGGGCATGGTGGATAACGCGCTACTTCCAACAGTTCATCGCCAGATTGGTGAGCTTCAACTTTCATGTCCTGGTTTTGGGTGCGTCAAATCCCTTGTTTCACTTGATGTTTGCGAAAAACAAAGTAGTACCATTTGTTATCATGTACTACTGTCCTCTCACCATCCATGTGCAAAGTTGATCACACTGTTCACATAAATGGTCTACTGCTTAGGCGCTCTTTGTTACGAAGACCACTTGCTTGTATATTCATCAGCTATGGCACCTATCGTCATCATAGACAGCAGTACGGCAGTGGTGGAAACCGGTGTTTAACTGCTGTGCAACTATGACGTAAGAGGCTCTCGGTAATGGGTGAAGATAAAATGGCAAGATGGGAATTTATTGCGATCAACTGTGTGTCCCCCGATGGAAAACATCCAAAAATGGGGTGCCTGCATCCTCCAATGATAAACACGTCTGAGCGTCGTGCTGGAGTCGGACACCATCAGCTGAATTGACCGAACNCGTGTGAAAACATCCAAAATGGGGCGCCTGCATCCTCCAATGCTAAACACGTCTGAGCATCGTGCTGGAGTCGGACACCATCAGCTGAATTGACCGAACATCCTTTGCGAACGTCACTCAGCACAATCTCAGCACACAAGGACGGACAAGCGTTAGCTAGGCAAAACAGCGGAAAGATCCACAACACAGTTTGACAGTAGCCGCTTTTATTTCGCGTTGTCACGCCATAGCCTGTTTTTCGCGAGATTCTCGCGTAGGAGTAGGAAACGCTTGTGTTTTGGTACACGCGATACATGCCCCAACCGCTTAAGACTGTTAAGTATTGTCTACTGCTCCAACGATTCCGGTTCATTACCTTGTACTCCCCTACGGATCGTTTCATTGCGTGCATGATGCAGGCAGCTGCTGTCCACTATCGTAAAGTTTCAGTTGGCATAAATGAGAGTGGATAGGCAGTAAATTCTGAGGCACTTCATGTTTCTATTTCGGGTGTTTTGTATATGGTCGTCAAATATCGAGGCAAAGTCATCCGCGTAATCTAAGTTAGTTATCTTTCTTCCTTAGAAAATGCACTCTACGATGGTTTTGATCACAAAAGTGGAACAGCTGACATCCCTGGTGAACCTCACTAGTTGTGTGGAACGTATTCGACAACTCATTGTAAACTCGAACGCGACCGGAAGTATGGGAGTAAATCACACGAAGGTTATTCGTAAAATTTAGAAGATGCTCCCGGTGGCCAAGTATGTGTAGAGGGGCCGACCAATCCACAGAGTCGAAGGTTCTTTTGATGTCAGAAAAGTCCGCTGCAGCTGGTCAGCGTTACGTGTTGTATATGCTGTCCAAGCACTTGACGTAATCTGAAGATGTAGCCCCTGCCTGATGTTCTCGAACTTTCGTCTCGCGTAGTGAGTTCAGATGTCGCAGCTTTATTGAAGTGGGAGCTAATTCGGCCCAATGGCTACTCAAAGTGGAAGGCATAATAATAATTCAGAACTAAGGGACGATGCAAACTCACAGACTGGCTCGATTCGAGTGCATCAGATGAAAGACTTGGGTACATTAGCGGATGGTCAGCTAAACTGTTTTCCATCTGTTAAGATGGTGGTCTTTGTCATACATTAGATATCCTGTACTATGCTGGATAATCTCATCAACAATTGGGTTCTCCGGTCTCTTTTGTGTATCAGATGAATTTTGTCGACATTCCCACTGGCACTAGCTTCCTCCGTTTCCGGAGCCTTCTGACTCCATCGGATTTCTCTAGCAGTCCTTCTGGCTGAGTTATCCTCAGTGTTCGAAGGGACATGATATCTTGGATTGAAGAGTGACGGTGACCGTTCTGAAGTCCTATGCTTATTTGGTGGGCATCCAGAAACGCCACATGCCGAGATGCCTGCCGTACGACTGGCGGTACTTATCTCGTTCAAATTACGACTCACATCTGAAGGTGTGCCTTTTAAGGCCTCACATAAGCTAGTTCGCATAGCCCTAACTCTTAAGTCGGGAATTTTTTTCGATGTCTAAACGGGGGATTGGTTTCTTCAATCTGCCCGGGGAACTTCTGGAAAATGTACACCAGAAAGGAATATGAGTTGAATCGACGTAAGTTGCCCAAAAAGATCGACAATCAAGAATATAGTCTCGCCGCCGAGCACCAATGGCTATGTGGTCAATCCCGCTTCATGATTGTCCATCAGTAGGGGGATATCAGGTAGCTCAACTACGTCTGTTGCTTCCGAATACACTACTGCTGAGGGACAAGTGCAAAGCCGCGGAAGACAATCACTATTGTTATTACCTTTCGAGTCCAAGCTTAACAGACCAACAAGTGGCGCCTCTGATGGAATGAGCCGTTCAACTTGTGCGCAGAGGCCGGTGGTGACTAGGACAATACCTGAAATCCTCGTGAGAGGATCTCGCTGAAAATGGCATGTTCTCTCTGGAACCTACGTCTCACCGAGTGAGAGCTATCATTGGTTGATGCTTATAGTGTAAACGGATATTATTACGTTCAATGGAGGTCATCTTCGAAGGCGATAAATGGACAATACAGAGCCGGTTATTTAAAGGATGTTGAGCACAAACGTTGTGGCGGTAACCGTCTCGGTCTCCTAGCCGATATCATAGGTTTGTCCATCACAATTTAGTTGAGATCTGGAAACAAGTTACGAGGACGGTTCTTTCCATTTTAAGATCGCTCCTCGATCTAGTACTTGCCCAAATACCGTCTGACGTTTCTACAAACTTAGCTCCTAACCTTCACAGATCCAGAGCGTATATGCAACGCTAGTATCCAGTGAGCGGTCTGCTTACAAGTCAAGTATTTGCGCTGTCCTGACCAATAAATATTATGCGAATTGCTGGAGCCCATTTTACTCACATTCTTGCACATTGTCCGGTGATGGAGGTGGTTTTGAACGTCGAATCAACCGCTTCATTGGGACATAACAGGTGCTCGTAATCATTGTACGAAGTATTGCAGTCGACAAACCCGGTTGTGTTATGATGTCTAAGAATGTTTGTCTGCCGCTGCATTAGGTATTTGACTAGTTTTTGTACGTCAGCTGGAAAAACTCGCCTTCTAATTCTACGTCAAAGCCATATCTTTCCTAATTGCCCGGTCTAAGGCTTCTCCTGGTAACAGTCACCGACCGGTGTCCCGCTAATGGCTTCATAACGGTCGCCATGTACGTGACCCAGTGCAGTATATGAACAAGGTAATTAATGGCTGAATGAATCAATGGAAGAGAAGCGGTTATCGAACAGATTCTACCAAATAGGTGGCGAAGAACAGCTACAACTTCCCACGAAGGGTTTACTGGAGTTAAGCTAGAGGCTTACCGTCAACTGCGACTCACTAAACCCACAATTCAGTTTTGTGTCCCAGGTGCGCACCATATCTCGGTCACCTTAGATGGTGATACACATCACTGACGGATCGATTCTCATTACTTCTCGTAACATTTGCACGTGTAACTCTCGTTCCTGTTCTTGTCCAAGACCCGTTTTGCCCAACGGCTTGAACTAAGATGGGTTTCTGTGTGGGCTCATTTGTGCTATTGCTATCTCCTCATGCGTTCACTTCAGTGCTGCTGCTGCAAGATGCGTATACTTTGCCCTCGATCGTCTTTTTCCAGACAAGCGAAGCTTTTCGGACTAGATGTTCACGCTTCCGCTTTTCATTCTTTGTTAAAATGCTCCTTTTATGACTCGACGACGGTTAAACACCACTGCTTACCATTAGCATCGCTGTTGAAAATGACTATCTCAGAGTACATGAAAAATGGCGAGAATCCGGCTTTCCAGAGGTTTTCCTAACTCCCCTTAATCATTCATGTTTACCTGCCCTGCCTGTTTACAACACACTTTTTGTTCATCACTCTACCCCATCAGCTCGGAAGGCAGATAGATTTGCGGCTTATCCAAGCATGTTGTGCAGTGCACGACATCCCATCGCTAATGCAACATCTGGATGACCTGAAGGCTTTCCGCCAAAGAATCTATGACCATTGGAACCAAGAACGAATAGATGCCGTAATTTGTCCCGCCTTTGGTATGGCTGCTCCGATCTCTGCGAAGTCTAACAAAAAATTCACCGAAATGTTGACGTACTTGAATCTTTTCAACATAGCCAATATGCCTGCAGGCTGTTTGCCCTCGGGGATAAGCGTCGATGAGAATGATATCGAGGCGCTCAAAAATTCAGCACCTCCAAGTGGCACCGGTTCCCTTTGGTCCAAAGACGTTATAGAGGTAGTTCGCTCTCATCCTTCCATTTTTAATTTTCTAACCATTTTAACTATGGTTACAATGCACATTTGACGCGTTTGACCCCTAGCCTTTCAGTAGTTTTACTTGAAAGGCTACTATGCTAGTTGAGCGCCTTTGGCGAAGACTATTCTCATAACTGGACTGCTCGCTTTACCACACCCTCCCAGTCACCGATGTGTACCGCGAATACAGATGCCTCAGTAATTTAACTCAGCGATCCTTGACGGCAGTCACACATCTTTTCACTCATTCAATATGGAACTTCTCATTCCAAGCCTTATAGGTATCCCTCTCACTGGTTAGGAAATGAGCTATTATTCTGCATTACTACCCTTATAGTCAATTGCATTTCGTTAGCTCTGCTATCTGCGGTGTATTTGGCCTGGATGAGCTAGTACTCGTGGCTCGCCGAAAAAAAGCACTAGCTGGGTTAGTAATCCAGTGAACATAAAAAATCCCAGTAAAATTTATTTATATCCAGCAGTAAGGCGCTTTCACTCAAACAATCTGTTTGTGTGTTTCTAGGTGACATTGCATTCACAGAGTTTGATGTCACTAGTATCTTCAGTGGGTTTGTTGTACACGTATCCCCATCGTTTTATTTCATCTCGGGTTCCACTTTCAAGCTACCAAGGGCTTGTTAGCCACTTCTCACGTCATCATTCATAGTGTCGCATTGGGACTTTCCTAAGATACACTCCTGCTGCATAAGTCCTGGCGGGGGCATAAANGTTCCACTTTCAAGCTACCAAGGGCTTGTTAGCCACTTCTCACGTCATCATTCATAGTGTCGCATTGGGACTTTCCTAAGATACACTCCTGCTGAATAAGTCCTGGCGGTGGCATAAACTGAACTGCTTACGTACAGAACGCTCAGTTGTTCAGGAGATATGTAGACGCATTTCTGCTCCTGTCTGAACTCTCCATTAAAGGTCTGTTTTTCGTACCTGCCGAGTCTGCTGTGGACCAATATCATTCGCTGAATCACGAGCGTGTAGTTTGTTGTTGCTGCACTCCAATAATTGTGAGCTGCATGGTTATACATGTACTTTCCGTCTGACGATTGTGTGCAGTCGACAAATCCCTCTGTCCAATCCATCCATCGCAGCCAGTCACATGTAAAAGCTGTCGAAGGATGTAGTGAGGCTGCATGAAGAGAAATCCCCTCATAAACGGAGTCGAAATGATCGAGCGACGCAGTTGCTCTGGTCGGTGGGGCTAGAGCAGTCCTTCGATGGAGGGTTTAATAAAGTGTCCCACCAGGTATCGGTTTAATTTCCCGACAAACGTGCTACTTTTCTTCATGCGCGTACCAGTGGTCGGGATAAATTTTCCCACGAGTAGTGTGTTATTTGCATCCATATCACTTGTATGAACGGCCAAAGCGCTATATTTTGTGTGAAGAACTCATGAGACCCAATTTCGCTTCTAGCCTAACCGACCAGTGTTCACATTACCTGGATTCGGACTCAGACCGAATATGTAAGGCCAGTATGGTATCAGCACACTACCAGTAGATATTGGGTAACCTGAAGTAACACATCTAAACAAGTGAATATGTTCATGCTCAAACGATGACTTAAGCAGGTCCGACTTGTACTTGTTGTCGGGACCACCGGGCTAGGTGATGCCACGGACGCTTGCAACCTGTCGGACAACTTTTCGACCGATTATTTGTGGGTATTCACTGTATTTACAGAATGTGTCCATGTATCACTACCACGGACACAAATTCTGAAAGCCTCGCAACTACTTGCAACCAGCTGAGTAGTGTAGCTCCACGTGCAGGCTACCAGCACAGCACGACCGACGTAGGCAAGACACTAATGTTCTCTTACGTCGTTCACCGCTGACCTCTGCGATAAATTGTGGTGTTCGTTAGTCTCGTTGAATATTTGGTTTGCTACTTCGAGAGTTCCACTCAGATAGTGTGGTTTTCCCTAAGGATATCAGACCTTTTGTACTAGGTTCCTATCCTTCTTTTCACCTGTGGCTAAGCCTTCATCTCGTTGCTGTATCGCAGTTTATCATTATTTTCGCCGGTGACAACGACTTAAAGTGTTGGTAATGTGTCATAGCCAATCACATAGAGGTTTAGTGGTCCTAAGCTCCTTGTCGTAGACTTTACTTGTTGATACTGTGTAGCGGTTTTCCCGCCTCTGTTTGTATCACTCCAGACTGGTCATCTAAAACAATGCTTTCTCAGCGGATGCTGCATCCGTATTCAAGGAACATGGCAGGATCCGATGCAAAACCGTATCCACTGTTTCCGTTAGTTCATCTGAGCTAACCGTGATTGCTGACTGAGCATAGAAAACAGCTTGCGTCTGCAAAACCGATCCACTTTCCGTTAAGTCAACCTAGCTAACCGTGATTGCTGACTGAGCATAGAAAACAGCTTGCGTCCCATTTATCTGCTTGTTAGTTCCATGTGGTCTACCGGATAACCTTCGCTTTTATTGTAGCTCCAGGCCGACACACTTGGATTTCGGGTCAGTGTTCAAGTTGCCGCCGCTCCTTGGAGAGACGAACTCTGTCTTCATGTGATGAAAGAAGTGGAAAAGGCTGTTCGGTTGTAGTCTTCACTTTTATTCAGAAAACTCCGCTGTAAGCTTGCCTTATTTTTTCACTGATTCCTTACGCTTCATTTTATGCTTTGTTCTTTGCTGCCTGTGTGTTGACTCACATCACCAAATGCGTATTTGATATGCAGCACCGATCAGCCTCACCTCTAATATATCCTTTCCCCCACTTTTTCGGCATATTGGAACAAGCTATATTTTTATTATGGCCGCATCCAGCCATAACTATTGTATTATCGGCGGTTCAGGTAAACTTAATGACATCCAATTCAATCTTTAATAACAAGGCCTGTATCATGAATGCATCTCCACTGCATAAAGCAGGTGTGGAAAGGTTGGCAATAACGAAAGATAGATTAGAGGTTACTAGTAGTCGATTCACTGAACTGAGACTAGGTCACAGAGGGGTCGTGATGTTTAGGTCAGTTGTTCGTTAGCACTCAGTCCTAACTGGTCATATGAATGAACTAAACCATAACAACGATACCAACATGAAGACATATCTATCACCCATAGATCCCAGGCGCATTCGGAGACACCTAAGTGACTAATGGAGAATCCCCCAGTCTAGGTAATACCGAATAAACAAGAGGGTTCGGTCACATGACTCCTTGGAAACCGTCTCATCAAAAGTTGTCAACAAAGTAACCATTCTGTGTTTGAAAGAAACAAAGTAGCATTGCAAGAAACGCTGAGTAAGAACGTGGAAAATGCACACCAAAGAAGTGTAAAATCAAAAAGAAACCGGCATTTCAAGCTTCGGTGCTCAGTTGTTATGGAATAGTATGTGTACTCAAGTTGCAGATCACTCGTGGTGACAACCGAAAATGCACACCGTCCTCTGGGAGACAGACTGTTGATGTGCACTAGTGTAACAATCGGCAGTGGACCAAGACATCAATCTTTCTTCACGTGGTCCTGAGCAGAATGGAACACCTCACCACTCTCGTCTACGGGATCACTGTTACCGGTTCGGTTGTCTCGATCACTTAGTTCTTGCATTTCGGCCAACCCTTTCCGCAGAAGGCCAATACGCCTGCGAACTTCAGACTTGAGCGCTGCATCATAATTTTCAGCTGATGTTTGTTGAGCGTTTTGGACAAGCTGGAAGTAGAAAATAGAGTATGAGTGGATGAGAAAGGAATACATTGTTTCCATATTAGCCGAATGTGTGAGTGTCAAAAAGGGAAACCAGCATCGATCCATCACCTAATCTAATAAGCATAAGATCAAATCAAAAACCAACTAACCTGATATCTTTCAACTCATCCAATGCAACTTTACGCTAACCAATCATTAGGATGGGTGGAACTGCTTGTAATAAATGCAAGAAAAGACTAGGTAATTGTTGGAGGTTGGTTCATATACGAACGACATATGCGCCAGAATACACATGCCCGATTGCACACTGCATAGCACTTCGTCAGATGACCCAAAAAGAACGAATGAACCTTTATATGTCCTCGTGTACCCTATCAGTTGGACGGGATTCAATAGTTTATCGCTGTCACATGGGACCGATTTGACCTTAGTTTGTTTTCGATGATCACTTGTTTCAATCGATTAAAATCAGTTCACTGACAAGCTAAGATTAGCTATTTAGGATGTTATCACAACAAGACAATCTGGCGGCCTCGTAGAACAGTAAGTATTGGGGAAAAATCGTTTGTGTGATTTTCGATAAACGCTGTTTAGACTTTCTGAAAGCACTGTAATGTTCGGTTACCAACAATCAACACAGTGCTATGTTCTACTCATCTCGTAGTATTTAAAACGACAAACTTGGAAGCACACGATTCGCGCTGTCACTGGCCGTCTCCCCCAGGAAGGCATCCTTAACACAATACATAGATGCGCTAAAGAACACGGTCCGTGCATCCAGTCCATTGACTTTAACTCATCCATCCCCTGATCTTCGGGACCACAATGTGCGCAATGCCAACCGACGAACAGGTTCAGCTTCAAAGTACTTGTTCACTGGATTTATGATTGTTCAATCAATTAATCAATAACAACTGTCCAACTGTGATACCCTTTTCGTGCGTCCCTCCTACGCAACGGAAAATAAGCACGAAAGTTCAGGTATGGTCAGAATGCTCAAACCCGGATGGGAGCAATAGAAAAGCTAGAGAGCCGTCTGAAGTACGTACTTTCCGGTCGCAATTCGACCGAATTCACACAAATTAAAGTAATGCGTCGCGTACTAAAATGGTGCGGAACGGTACACTTCATTGAACAATGCATACTTTTTTCCATTGTATTCCATTATCGTTCCATGATTCCACTCTTCGTTTCCCCAAAATACTCAAGGTTACCATTATGTCCGTACGTCTGCGTAGGATGCTCCGGTAGTCAAAGGATGTGCATAGTTAGGTGCGCACTGATGATGTCTTCTCGTATGATAACGAAACGTTCGTAAGTTGATTGCCAGGCTCGGCGAACAGATCAGCGCCATCTCATCAACAACCAATAAAGCCACTTTTCCTATTTTCCTCCACAGAAAATGGAAATATGTCCCTTAGAGTCTCTTAGAGAAAATGCTGAACAGTCAACAATCGTGCTGCACTTATCGTGAGCTCCTGAACTGATCGAGTCAAAACTGCATGATCGTAAATGTGTCGGGTGGCTTATGATCGTCGACAATGAAGAGGATGCCCAATCTTGCAGTCATCCTACAGAGCATACTTAAACCTCTATATCAATAGATTGTAGAACGACTGCATTTTTTATGCATGAGCGGGCAATGTAGTTGTCACGTCAACAGCATATACCCTGAAGAAATCAAAGGTCGTTTGCCTCAAAGAACAGAAGTTAACGAAGGCAACTCTGCAGATTTAGGATGAAAATGTAAAAAAAATCACTTGCATAGTCATTTTCATGGGCAGTTCCAGTCTCGTCCGCAGCTCAAAACTCTTGGATTGATCCCACTGTAACAGTCTTATTCAACCAACCAACTGGCAGTAGTCAGATTTAGTTTTCGTGCACACCCTTACATCTTACATGACACCACAAGTGGCTGCAGGTCAGGCTTGTCGGACTGATGTTCTCAAAAGTGAACATCAATCGCCCGAATATTGCCTTACAGCGATGGGAGTGTCCATAACAGTTCCGGGGATTGATTGTTCACGATTTACAAGTGGCAATTCGTCCTACTCAGTACTCAAAGTGGTGTATTGCCGTAACTGACCAACAAGATAGTCGACCGGTCGTTACGAAAACTCAGTAATAATGGGTCAGACATAAAAAGTCGTCACTCTTTCACACCGGGCAGTCCGGCAAGCAGCCGTGACACCAAACTCTTTTGGATTGATTGAGGGAAGAAGCGACGACAATCCTAGTGAGCTGCTGTGTGGTCGTTTCTGGTCCAAGGTGAAACAATCCAGAATCGCAGTCGCCCCGCGGTTTCGAGAGAGGAAAACGTCAAAGGACAAAACCGTGTCCTAAAACTTCATCGCAGCCTAACTTAATATGTCGTTGATGCGTAGTCTTGAGAAAGGTAGTACGGATGGAAATTATCTGTGTTTTCTGTTTGATCGTAGTGGAAGGGTTCCATGTAACCTCAATCTAAATTCTCATGCTAGCATAAAGCTACTGCCGATGTCATCAGCATCCGCTTGACGGGGAGCGTCTACCTGATTGTGAGCCCTAAGAGTTGAGTGAATGCGAGATCTGGTTCGGGCTCGGATGTTCTCTGGAAACGAATTAGTAATCTTGTCCTGCTGAGCCCGCTTGGCCATTGATTGAATGAGTCATTACTTGCTCAAGGTAACAACCACGGAAATCGAACCGAAGCTCAGCATTTGTTCTGTCTTAGAGCTCGAACCCAACGGAATTTCAAAAACTCGCAATGAAGAAATTGCGGAGAAGAGTTGCGCTTCATAGAGTTCCTTATCAGGAAGGGGGAGGCAACCGTATATCAGCAATGATGAATAACAGAAATCTCTTGTGCGCCTGAGACCTAGTAGAGGTTTGATCTAGCAGACATAACAATCGCATATGGAGTCTCACTACAAAATAATCCGCTGAAGTTACATAGTCATTTACAAACGAGGAGGGTATCAATGTGCGATTTACACTACACTCGAATTGATCTCTTATTTGTGATTTTCGTCGACCCAAAGTATTTTTCAAAGTTCGTATCAATGTTTAATTAGAAAGATATTGAAGAGATCACAGTATTTTCTCCTTCATTCTACATAACTTACAAAGGCGGTAAAAACTTTCCACAGAGTACTGACCTGTGCACGAATGACAAACCAACAAGTGAGCAGCAAACCGAAAACAATTGAATTGGACGCATCTTTAGGATCACCCTGTGAGTTCCAAATTGAGAATAGGTTGAAGAGCATCAAACACAGCAGGCCACCTGCACTAATATCCTGTAGAAGACTGGATCCGATCAGTAACAGAATCCCGCCCACAACCTCTACCGAACCGTAGACTCGACGAATAACATGAGGGCTCGGATTCCAGCCGACCCAGTTCTTGAGCGGGAAGGATTCGTAGGTTTTGACAAAGATTTTTCGCTGTATATGGGAAAATGTAATCATTAAATAAAAACAGGCGCAATCTAAACAGAAACATCCGCGCTGATGAGATGTATAAAAAGTATCACCTCTCTTCAAGAGGAGTCACAACTGATAGAAATATTCCCAAATCTGTACGCTAATTTTGCCACTGTACAATCTCACTCTTGGCAGATTCAAGTGGCAAAATACAGGTGATGGAGTATACAGCACACAAGATGTATACAAGAGAACTGGCGGTTTAACCACTTCAGTGAGTGCTTTGTAGCATTACACGAAGTAGGATCCAGGTAATTTATCGCAGTGATTCACGTGTGGGATACTCGTGCAGAATCCGTCAACAGTCGGACACCGATGTAGCTTTGCTGAGCACAGTAACTCGTTTCTACACCGTCTTTTCGATACCTGAGCATTTTAGTGTTCCACTCCCCGTAATGGGAGTCCCTCGAGAGTAGTTTTAAAATACATAGTAGGCAATGACATGACCTTGTATGAAGAATCGGGCGTGACTCGTGCAGTCAAGTGTTGCTATAATGTAGTGGTGTCCAGCATTTACGTGAAAAAGAAAAATGAATGTAGGAAGTTCTCGTAGCGAGAAACAAATTTTGATCACTAAAATTGTATTCACGAATGCAAAATAGCTCTAAAACCTACTTAACTGGCAACAAAATCTCATCAAAATCCTATTTAATTATCACTGAGTATTCTAACGGGAACCCATTACGATGAAAGCCTGCTGACAAGGCTCGTCTGTTGCCATCTGGAACTGACAAGGCAGTCAATGAATCAACTAGAACCTCCACTGAGTCCAATACTGGTGTCATCAACAGGTTGCATTTATTGTTTCTCATAAGTAGAAGCACATACCGCTGCAGAGAAGTCCCAACGGAAGGAAACGGGGACTCTACATATTAATCAGGATGACCGAGATTCAACAAGTTACTCAGATGAAAGCTAAGTGATGCGGAATGGCCAGTGTCCCTTGAACGATAAGGGACTGGAGTGACAAGGATGAAAACTTGTGAACAAAGTTCACAAACCTTCAAATCCAAGAGTAGCAATCCGTAAAGATATTGGCATAACCATACGTTATTTATGAGAATAAAACTACCAGTGGAGAGATCCATTTTTAGCTAACCGTTGCATAAAATATATTTGCTTCCTCTGAAGAAATCACCTCCAGAAGTCTTTTCTGACGGACCCTTGGACGAAAGTTATGCGACATCGCCACTTCGGATTGGCCTTTGAGGTAGCTAGAATAAACGTTGCTCGATCCCAATAACTACGTCTTAGAGTTACCAGTCCATAGAACCATACAAATTGGCTGCCACACTGGTGTGATGGTAGGGCTATCTTGTTGTAATGACCCCACGTGCTTAACTGACTGGAACTTCCTTCTGGAGGGTGCAGCAATGCCAGGAGGACCAAAGTGGACCAATAAACAGCAGCAATTCATCGTACTACGAGCAATCATAATGAGCGGTGGTCAGGGAAAATCCTACTACCTTCGCGGTAGGGAAATAGCATGTCCATATACATACTGCATGCGATACTACCTTCTCTCCATGCACCCGCTGCGTGCAATCACATTGGGAGTCAGACAAATATGCCTTATTACCGGTGCCCTCAAATTAGGCAAGCCTCCCACGTCCAATTGGGTCATATTATTGAGTCACCGGCTCTGAGAAGGGTTCCCAATAAAACCTCGACCCCATGTCGCCTTGATGAACAGACTTTTGAGTGGAATGTCAAGGTAGGGTCTCCCGAACAAACTCCCTTCATCAGCAGCAACCAGGCAGTAATATCATGCAGTTCAACGGCAAGGCTAAGTTTACCCCTTGGCACATGAAATGCTGTTATTTTTTCTCACATCAATGGAAACTACCCCTGCATGTTCAGAGGACCCGCAAATTTGGCCCAAGATACATCGACGCGATTAGACGGTAACGTGCCCACTGAGGATGATCTCTCACAGTGTCTTACCAGTCCCAGAAGATGGTTATTTCGGTGACACTAAAATCCACCATCAGCTTTCAGTCAGATTGGAATCACCGTTCATTTGTCGGTCTGGGGTTATTCTGTCCTCTGCAACAGGAGCGTGAAGCCATGTAGGTGTTTCTCACAGGCGACTATATTTATGGAAGAGGCGATGCTGTCTTCCCCCGGGGAACGACATTTAGAAAACGTCGGCCCCAAATCCGTATGCTCCGATCACCAAACAGTTGACCGTGGTCGCCAGTGAATTATTCAATACGGTCGAAATGCTTTTAAAACCAGAGTCCGGTGCTGTCCAAAAGGTGCCGGCTGTGTGCAGCCGAATTATGAGTGAGGCACTAACGCTTTACTCCCTGTATCCTTGGGTTAGGCCAACCCCCTGCAACCGAGCATCTCAGATGACCGGGCAATCCGTTATACACAAATGTGCCAAAAGGGAACTCTTTGGAAATGACCGAGCGACTGCTACTGGCAGACAGACACAGCTTACAGGAGATAAAATAGTGGAAAGGTACAGAGGTACGCTTGAATCTCACTCACTCGATTCATTTGCACCCAAGGACAAGGTCTATCAATGCGATCTCAAATGTCCCCGGTTTTGGCAAATATTTTATGGAACATTTTGAACCCAAACCTTTATCCGGATTCTCGTATGCACCCATAATATTCTGGCGTTATGTAGATGACACTTTTGTCGTAAGGGAACGAGACAAAGTCTATGAGTTTTACAGCTTTCTGAATGACCTGAATCCAAACATCAGATACAGCGTGGAGATTGAGTTAAATTCGGGTACATTCCCCTTCCTAGACTGCATGACACACGAGGTCGGGGAAAAACTAAAAGCCAGTGTATGAGAAGCCAACTGACAATGGGGCGATTTTGGACCAATCGCCTGCCCATCCGAAGTCAGCATTCGCCAGTATTGCCTCATCAGTGTTTGGCCGAGTAATGGCCCTGTGTACAGCGGCCCAAATTGAAGTAAAGAACAAACCTCAGGGTAGTGGATAGCCAGTGTTAATTACGGTGTTGGCACAGGTGGTGAAACCCAACAGGGGATGGAGTAGGATTGCTGTTATTACACATAAACCAGGAAGATCCGAAGCAATCTGAAGGATTCTAAAAACGACTAACATAAGAGTAGCTTGCTAGAGGGACAACACTGTGCTCTGCACTGGTACAATTGGAGGGTCGCCTCAAAGTTAGCAGAACCAGGGACTGTCTACAAAAGTGAATGCAACAACTACACTGAGGTCCACAAAGGACAGACGGTCAGGGAACTTCACACCATGATCCAAGAGCATAGGAGCACAATAAACAGGCCACCGAGAAACACAGGCGAACATCGGGCGTTACTGAAACACTCAGCAATGGCTGAACATACAGTTCACACGGGACACAAAAGAGACTTGGAAAATGTTGAAATTTTGAGGCGGGGATTACGGCTCACGCTCATCGAGACTGATGGTCGAGGCGGCAGAAATCGCCAAGCATCCAAATCCTAATAGAACAGAAAGCGAAGAACTAGCAAGCGTGTGAAGAGCGGGTTTATATCAGAAATAGGAGCCATAAAGAGAAGTGGATTACGTCTGAAGCGCACTTATTCTCACCCTTCTTCTTCTCCCCCCAACAAAATTTTTGTACCGCTTAGAAGCCTACAAAAACCGACGAAAGTCACCCGTGGCCCCGAAAGTGGATCGTCGACTGAAGTATCTTGAACCGAACGATTAAGGAGTCACATTCGATCAAAAATACTTTGAAATTCCTCCAACCGTAATAGTGAGGCAACCACAATGACCGACAAGACCCTTGAACTGATATTTAACACCGATCTAGTATGCCATTCTGAATAGGTCTTACTGACTGGTTCTCCATCTGCTTTAAAAACTTGTCAACTTGGTGACCTACTCGACTGGCCTGAGAAAGCTTTTGTGTCAAGGGTAAAACGTCGCCCAGTTAAAAACAACTGACTGTTTACCAAGCCATTCTGAAACATATCACTATCGTTTTAAGTCACCTTCCTGCGCCGGCGCAACTATGTTGATAAAAACAAACCTGCGAAAGGAAGCTGAGAACCGGACGTCAGAATATAAAATGACTGTATCCACTTAATGCCATGTGCGAATTGCGATGAGGAAATCATTGTCAAATCATGAAAATCTACCAGTTTAGTGTAAAAACGATGATCAGTGGTCTGAGAAATCAGCAGTAAGGACTGTAAGGGCTGACTAAACCGAAAACGTGCCACTGCAGCAGTCATCTAATGTGCGCAAATATCCAAGCTTAGTTCGCTTCCGTGAAATCAATTCGAAGCAATTAATACAACCACTAAACTACATCAATAACCCTAAATACAGTAATATGGATGACATCTACTCATGTTCAGTAAGATCCAAACTTTTGTAAGTAGGAATACACAGACTGGGTATCGGTAAGTTCCTGGAAATTCCCTCAGAGGATTACAGGTGATCAATAAAGCTAAAATTGATGTCCAAATGGTCTGACCCACCAGAAAATAAAGTCCCTGTTGAGAGAAGTACCAACAAGTTTCTCGAAATTTTCCTTAGAGCGTCCTATCTCTCCTATCAGGGAGTATAGTTCCCAGGACCTTAATCGACGGACCACCGTGTTTTTCTGCTTTCAAGTGAGGCTGTTTAAATTAAATAATTTCCAGATATAAGCAGCACCGAATTAGGCGCCAGTGAGACTTACCATGCTTCGGTAGAGTTCTTCTGAAAAGATAGGCGCCAACTTCAGCGTTCCGAAGAATATGAAACAGATTCCAAGACAAAGTGATATAGCAGTAAGCGCCGTGTTTGACATAGTTGCTAATAAAAGAGAGGAAAACCAGAAATTCGTTCACCTGGAAACCAGCGCATTACAATAATTAGTGGTGTTGAACTGACAGGAGCTGGTACCCATAATTCAAAAGAACTTGTCCCGCCAAGACACGTAAAGATGTTCCATCCGATGTGTCCATTAATTGCGTGAAAACTGAGTGAAAAATAGCAGTTTGATTTCGTCTAGAAATGTGCTCTTCATCGGAGTTCGTGATGATGCGATAGGAGTAATTCTTAGACGTATAAAAACAAGACACCCAACATGCTCCTCGAAAATAAACTAATTTGGAGGGGGTGTATGCGGTTTTCCTCCTCGGACCTCTGTGACACCTTGTAAGTTTGGAGACTACTAACAAACTCGCCAGCACAATACCAATGTTCAAACACTAAACCTTCGCTGTCATGCACCATAATTTATGTGCCTTATTGTGAATAGAATAAAAGTGAACGGATAACGGCATAGTGCTAGTCTATCATAGTCATTTCGGAGTGCCCCCATCTACTGGCACTCAGTTAAAGACTGGATAATAACTGACAACAAGAACGCCACTGGCGTCGATCAGCAGCCCTACCTTGCAGCGTCTCCAGCCAATCCAGTGGGGATTACACGGCCCCCTTCTTGGAAGGCGAGCTGTACCGAAGAAACCCAGAATTTTCGTATTCCTTTTCATACCCCCTGCCAGGTTAAAGGTCGGGCATCTCTCTCTTGTGCCACTTTGAATTGAGCACGGAAAACAGCACTCTTTTCGGCAAACGATGTCTCAGTATAAGCAATACATGGCCTAACCAAAAGAGCTTCTGGTGCAGGACACAATCATGGATTGAAGTCCCTGTTGAACAAACAAACACTCATGGGGTGCCCGTGACCCCGCCTGTGCTTGGCGGGAGATGTTGCAAGAGATGGCGGCTAATCGGTGTCAGTGGCGTTCGTGCTGTTGGTTTCTTTCCAGATTGTCTGATTAAGCGGTTGGAGGTGTAGGCACATCAGAATGCTTGACGTAGGCAAGCACTAGGTCCCCTCCCTGACCGAATTTTTTTCTCTTATCACTCTAGGGGTTTCAATGCATGACAGTGAGGCATCAGTGTCAACACCGATGTTGTCTCTGATGATGATGATGAGGACGAAGCAAACAATCGTCTCCTGAATGTCTCGTTGCGAATTCACCATCAGTATGAAACAACGATTGTTAAAAACTCGAAGACGTTCCAATTCTGCTGCTCGCAGGGGGTACGTCTCACGGTCGTACAGCTACATATAACTGTGGCCTGATACACATGTCCCTTGAAATGTAGGGATATGCCACTTTGCTGTCATGTGTCAACTTAGCAAACCCGAGCCTTGCAGATTCATACATTGACCTCAACCGTCACACTACAATCAGGACTAACACAACTTCCGGAATATGTACCACGTTTCACAGCTTCGAGTGCTTCTCGTCACTATCATCATCATCACCTGTGAGAACCGCGTACTTGTCGTACAGTAGCTGTAGCTGCCAAAATTTCGTCCACCGATGATTTGGAGAGGTGGGATAGGTTGCTGCGCATTGAAGGCGGAGTCAATAAATTGGTGCGTAGATACAGAGCTGTCAGTGGGCTTTTAAGTCGGGGTTGGGAAGGGAATTACGCATTGGGGGCAATAGGTTGGATGCACAAGCACCAATGAGACCGTCACTGGGCCATATCTGACAATACCTCTAGCCAGTAATGTGGCTCTGCGCAGGGTCCCCAGCGTGGAAAACGGCAATGACCAAAAGCAACAGAATTTGCTGGTAATGATTTTCATAATTCGCTGTCAAGTCGTTGTTTAACCATCCCTGGCTCGTTTCCATCCTTCACACGGTTGTGCAAAAACAGCCCTTCGAGGGAGTCGGTTAACTGGCATACGGAGCTGTTAGGCAGGAATCCACGCGGATACCATCCCTGTTTCCATCCTTCACACGGTTGTGCAAAAACAGCCCTTCGAAGGAGTCGGTTAACTGGCATACGGAGCTGTTAGGCAGGAAAGGAATCGGATCCCACTATACCGCACGCTTTAGGCGCTGCTACGGCCGAGAAGCCTGGCCCGCTCGAGGTTGGCCCAAAATTCGGGACCCTTGCCGGTCCGGCATCAAGGCGAGATCTGATTGGTCAACAATCTGGACCCAACAGCCAATCATGACCCAGTATTGGCCAAATGCCGGTTGCCAATGGAGCTCCAGAACGCGTCAGAAATTCCAGAAAGTTATAGCCGCTTACGCTATATATACGAAGCGCTGTACAACTGTTCCTGATTTCGTTTTGGGCGTTAATAGACCTTTGTGCACCTTTGGTGTTTGTTTTGACGTGAACGCTAGCTTGGGAGGCTCAGACCGAGAACTAAGCTGAGGAAAATACAGTTACAACAATTGGCGAACGGGAACCCACGATGTCAATCGAATTTGATCAGCTCCGAGAATTATTGCAGCAGCAACAAAAGCAGTTTGAAGAAGCGCAACTGAAGCTCATTGAATCACTGACTCAGAAACTGCATATCCAGACAGCAGCAGTCAGTACTGGTGAGTCTTCTGTTTCCTCAACTGATGCAGCCGCGGCCTCAATTACGGAGTTCACATTTGACGCTCTTTCTGGTCACACTTTTGACTCCTGGTTCAAGCGGTACGAAGACATGTTCAAAACTGATTTTTCCAAATTTGACGATGGATGGAAAGTCAGACTATTGCTGCGAAAACTCGGCACACCGGAGCATGAACGGTTCACAAATTTCATTCTCCCCAAGCTGCCCCGCGACCTCAGCTTTGATGAAACGGTCAGAACACTGTCCCAGATATTCGGCGATCAAACATCACTGTTCAATATCCGCTACCAATGCCTTAAGTTGGCCAAGAAAGATGATGATGATTTCATCACGTTTGCCGGTGTTGTCAATCGAGAATGCGAGCGCTTCAAGCTCAGCTCAATGACGGAGAATCAGTTTAAGTGCCTCATTTTTGTATCCGGTCTCCAGTCATCCCATGATGCTGACATCAGAACCCGGCTTCTTAACAGAATTGAACAGGATGCCGAAATGACGTTGCAGAGCCTCACCACTGAATGCCAACGCCTCATCAACCTGAAGCACGACACGGCTATGATCGGTCAGTCACCTGTGACCTCAAGCAGCTGTGTACAGGCAATCAACTACAGCGTGCCCAGGAAATCCGACAAGAAGCCCGATCGAAGACAGGGTAAGCCTCCCACGAGTTGCTGGCATTGCGGTGAGTGGCATTTTGCTCGTTATTGCCGGTTCAGGCGTCACAAATGTTCCAGGTGCAGTCGTCGCGGCCACAAAGAAGATTTGTGTCGATCTCAAAGATTGCAGCCACCCGCACACCACCGTGCAGCCCACAAATCGCGGTCCAACTCGGTGACGGCAACATTCAAAGTTGATTTTGCTTGCCGAAGGAAGTTCGTGACGGTTCGTATCAACGACATCCCAGTTCGGTTGCAACTTGATACTGGCTCCGATATCACGCTGCTCAGTGAACGAACGTGGAAGCGAATCGGTAAGCCATATGTGAAGCCGACTGATCACTGGGCCCGTAATGCTTCCGGTGGCAAACTGAAGTTGACTGGCGAAGTGGACTGCCTCATTAACTTCAAGGACTCGACGGCACAAGCCACCTGCTACCTGACGTCATGCCCCAAACTTGATCTCATGGGGCTAGATTGGATCGAAAAGCTAAACCTGCTGGATAAACCAATCAACTCTATTTGCAACGGCATACACGCAGCACCCGGACAAATTGACTTGCCGAAGCGTTCACTTGAGCACCTCCTACAACGTTATGCGTCTGTATTCACTGACGAACTTGGACGGTGTACAAAAGCAAAAGCCAGACTGTGCCTCCTCCCTGGTGCCAAGCCAGTCTTCAGGCCAAAACGTCCAGTGCCTTACGCAGCCTTGCCTATCGTCGACCAAGAACTGGACCGACTTCAGAAGGCGGGTGTTCTCCAACCGACCAACTACTCGGCTTGGGCCGCACCTATTGTGTTGGTAAAGAAGGCTAACGGGACGATCCGGTTGTGCGCAGATTTCTCCACCGGTCTCAACGCGGCGCTGGATACCCATCAGTACCCTCTGCCTCTCCCAGACGACTTGTTCGCGAAACTGAATGGGGTAAATGTTTCGCAAAGATTGACTTAGCCGGTGCGTATCTCCAGGTTGAAGTAGAGGAAGAATCCCGAGAACTGCTCACGATCAATACGCATCGAAGTCTGTTTCAGTACACTCGACTGCCATCTGGTGTCAAATTAGCGCCGGCCATATTTCAACACGTTATGGTTACGATGCTGAAGGACGCACCAGGCGTTGCCGCCTATTTGGATGACCTCATTGTCATGGGTTTTAAAATCCACGAACTGTGGCAGCGCCTTGATTACGTGCTTAATTGTATTCAAGAATATGGCTTTAAAGTGCGCCCGACG